TCTGAAGTGAAGAGCCAGGCACTTCTTCCCAGTCTCTCGTGTAGGTGTGTAATGACCAAACACTTGGACCATCTTCTGCAGCTTTTTCAGGCACGTTAGCAGGAAGCTGGCTTGCAAGTGAGACAGCAAGCACTTGATGTGGCCCGCATATGGGATGCTGGTGCCACAGGCAGCAGCTTTACCCACCACACCATAGTGCCATCTCATATGGAGTGCTTTTGTATGCAATATGAGGAAATAGGTTTCTGAGGCAAACTTTCTGCACAGTGGAAAAGACACTGCCTGCGGGAGCCACATGGCACATCAAAGTGCATTGGTTCAAGTCCCAGCTCAGCTTCCAAATTCAACTTCCTACACTAAGAGCGCCCTGGGAGACAGCAGATCATGGCTCAGATGCTTGGCTTTCTCCCACGTGGGAGACACCAGTAGCTTTGGGAGTCCTGGTTTCGGTCACTTCAGGGGTTTGGAAAGTGAACCAGATAATGGAAGATGTTTCTGTCCCTGCACTCTCTCCTTCCATCTCTCTGCCTTTTAAACAATGTGAAAATAAATGAATAATTACGGTTGAAAAAAGATCAATTGAAAAGATGAATCTCTTCCCTGAGCTGCAGTTGAGTCTTATACTCCCTGCCAGTCCCTGACTAACTGAGAAACAGTGATGCATCCGGAGGAAAAGCTGATGAGTCTGTGTCATTAGAGGCCTTCCTTTCATTCTGAGTTATAATTTTGGTCAAACAGGCCGGATGTCAGCATTGGTAATGGGAATGACTTTCAGGTTACTGTATGGAAAAATAGATGGAGCTGTTGAATTTTAGAAAATAGGACTGAGAAAAGATGCTTTGGTTTTTCTTCTTTCACTTTATACATGTGTTGTTTGATAACCTGCGGCTCGCCAAAGGTTTTTTTTTTTTATATTTTTATTTGTAGTTCAGTTCATTTGGCAGTTAAAGCTCCTCAACTAAAGCCAGTCCTTGGTTCATATAGTATTTTAAGAGATCCAAAAACACAAACTAAAATTAGCTTTACACTGACTTTTCTAAAGTCAGCCCTTGTCTCACCAAGTATTTTAACAAGTCCAAAAATACCGCAGAGTTACTTGGAACCATAGTAAATTCTCATTCTATCACAAGTTTCAGATCTTCTGCATTATGCGGTCTCTGAAAGATGGCTACATTTACAAATGCTATGAAAAGAGTTGTTAGTTCTATTTCTAAGGACTTCCACAATGAAACGGTTCGACCTTCAAAGTGTAAAGAGTAGCCGCTGATATGTAGTTCACTGGGTTCAGCCTGTGCTTGGGACGCTGGCCAGTTTGAGTCCCATCTGCTTCGCTTCTGATGCAGCTGCTTGCTAATGGACTTGGGAACAAGCCAGTGGTGGCCCAAGTCCCTAGGCACCTGCCATCTCTGTGAGAGACCTGGGTGGAGTTCCTGGCTCCATCTCTGCCTTCCTTTCTCTCCCCCTCTGATTCCCTCTCCTTCAGATGATCTGCTTGCAAATAAATAGTTGTTGTTGTTTGTTAAATTAAGACTACCTTAAGGATGTTTAAGGTAGCAAGACTGTGATATACAATATGAAGAAGATTCTTTAAAGACATTTTTATTGGGCCCAGTGCAACTACTCAATAGTTCAATCCTCACTTTACAAGCACCGGGATCCCATATGGGCTCTGATTTGTGTTCAGGGTGCTCCACTTACCATCTAGCTCCCTGCTGTGGCCTGTGCAAGCACTAGTGGATGGCTCAAAGCCTTGGGACCTTGCACCCACATGAGAGACCCAGGAGAGGCTCCTGGCTCCTGGTTTCAGATTCGCTTGGTTCTGGCTGTTGCAGCCATTTGGGGAGTGAACCAGCGAATGGGAGATCTTTCTCTCTGTCTCTCCTTCTCTGTAAATCTGATCTGCCTTTCCAATAAAATAGATAAATCTTTTTTTTTTAAAGAAAACCCTTTTATTAATAACATAAAAGAATAAAATTTATATTTTATACATACAGTTTTAAAAAGATAACCATAGTTCCCTCCCTATCTGTGTCCTCAAATCCCCTGCCTTACTTCTTTTCTTTAATTTTTGCAGAAACATAATCTCACAGACCTATAATCTGTAATCACAGGCCTAATAGGCTACTAACTAAAATATTCAACAAGTGGAAAGTAGTTTACTTAGACTGAAAATATATATTTACAGGAAAAGTCTTCATTAAGTCGTGTCTCTACATTTCTCTCCCTTTTTTATTCTCTTAGCTGTGGTGGCCTCACATAACTTTACTGGGAAGTGTCCCTGTTTCCTTCCTTAACAGTGTATCCCTCTATTGGAGTTTGTGTGGCTCTTCATGTCACAGACCTGCAGGTGGTGAAACTTAGGGGCCTGTTGGTGATGATAATACCACACAGGGTGCTTGCATTTTAAATCAGGTGACATTCAAAACTTCCATGCTATTTCTCCAACACATTCTTAGCTCCTGAAGTACATTTGTGGTCAAGAGAAAGAGACTTCAGGGGTCAGTCTAGCAGGTGAAACACTGCAGTCTGCACTAGAGCACCTTGGCACCATATCCGGCTCCAGCTCCTCGTCCCAGCTTTCTGCAATGTAAACCTTCAGAGGCAACTGTGATGACTCAGATGGTTAGGGAGATCTGGGTTCAATTCCTGGCTCCCGGCTTACTCCCAGCCCAGTCCCAGGCACTGTGGACATCTGGCGAGTGAACCCGTGCACGGTAGGGTCTCTCTCTTTGATAAACAAGTGAATTATTTATAAGGGGAAAAAGGAAGGATCTTCAGTACTAAGTTATCAAATTCAGTTGCAGTGCTTCGTTGGTTATGAAAGATTCCTGATGTACAGGTGTGCTCATAAGGTCAGAGTAGTTTATTGGGATAGGAGTATCTGATCCTGGGGTAGGAATATCTGATCCTTTTTAAAGCCTAGTGTTGTAAAAGGAAAGAGAAAGGACAGCAGGCCTTGAAAATGCAATGTTTGTCAGTTTATCCATATGATGTAAAATACATGTTCAGCCAGATACTTCAGAATATCCAGTTTTTCACTCAGTATTATTTCTCTGTTTATAATTTTACTGTTGGGACTGGCATTGTGGCACATCAAGTTAAGCTGTCGTCTGCAGTACCAGCATCCCATATGAGCACTGGCTCAAATCCTGGCTGCTCCACTTCTGAGCCAACTCCCTGATAATACACCTGGGAAAGCAGTAGAAGATACCCAAGTGCTTGGTCCCTGGTCACTCACATGAGCGACGCGGACCAAGTTTCGATCTCCAGACTTTAGCCTGGCCCAGCCCCAACCTTTGTAGCCATTCAAGAAGTGAACTACAGATAGAGGGTTTTTTTCTTCTCTCCCCACCTCCCCCGGCTGCCCCATGTCTCTCCCCAGCTCTCTTTCTCTGTTGCATATGCTCTTGCTTGTGTGTGTGTGTGTGTGTGTGTGTGTGTGTGTGTGCGCACTCTTCCCCCTCTCTGTAACCCTGCTGTTGAAATACATCTTTAAAAACAAATGAAAAAAAAGTTAGCAGACATAGAACATTTATTTTTTATGAAGGAGAGAAAAACAGTGGTTCATATTGATATTTACAACATAAGCTTAAAATTATCTGGGGTTTTTTTCTTCCTGGTTTTTGTATTTGTATGTTATTTCTCTTATTATTTTATGTTATTATATGTTATTTAATGACATGTTATTTAAAAGGTCTAGTTTTTCAGGATTTTGAAAATTTTGTTGCTATTTTTAGGGCTCATCTGTCCTAAAGATTTTTTTTTTCCTTTTTAAATTTTGTTTAAATTTTATCTTCAATATTGTTTACGTAGTTGAGAGGGAGGGAAGCCCATGAAGGAGGCAAGCCCATGAGGGCCTCCAAATGGAGGAGGATGATTAGGACACGTGCCTCAGTTGTTCCTTTTTCTCCTCCTGTGTCCACAGGGGAGGAAGGGAACGGGGCCTCCTTGCCATCACACCCAGGGACAGGGGATGGTCAGTGGATGGCACCTTAGAGACCCTGATGTGGGGAGGAGTACTCTGAGAGTGTTACTTGAGTGATTTTGACAATTCTGAGAAGTTGTTGGTTTCGTTACTCCAAGACTGAGAAAATCTTTCCGAGGTTTGTTGATTGACTAAGTCCACCTCGGTGTGCATTCATAGGTCCATGTCCTGAAGAATCCTGATTCTTGCAATGTATGTTTATTCTTAACCATGTACTTCTGAAAAGGTTTTGAACAGTTTTGTTGCTCTTTGTTGGTAATTGAGATCAATTTAACGTATCAGCTCTTACACAAATTAAAAAAAAAACACAAGGAATTTTATGATTTGTGATGCCCATTTTGATAGGAAAAGCAGTACTCATATTTCCAGTTGGTAGTTTTAACTGATCTACATCTACTTTCCAGAATTGTAGCTAACTATAGTGATGATTTCAAGATAACTAGATATAAATGTCAAATGATGGGCAGAACACATTCCAGTAGTTGCAAAGTGCGAATTAAAGCAATTATTAAGTGACATTCTTTTATGGCTGGAGGGACTGATTTTCAGTATCTCTTTTTGATCAATATAGGGGAAAAGGGTCTACTTTTGGTGGAAGGTGAATCGGATCATGTTTTAGAAGGGAAGTTGGGGACTAAGTAACAGCATGAGAACTGGACATAGCTCTCTAACCACATATTCTGCTTTTTGATCACTAGCATGCATTTGTGTAAAAGTGTGCTTGCAAAGACAAGTCCTTCCAATAAAAGAGAAATTATAAATACTCTGAGCTTACATCTGTATAAGCATGAGTTAATGTTATTTTATGATTTTACTAGAGAAAAGCAAAAGCAGGAACAGGTCTCCATGTGCCAACAAGGAGAGATGTGCTCAACATATTACAAAGTAGAGCAAAAAAATATTAGAGCAATATTGTGTATGAACTCATTTTGTTTAGAAATAAACCTGTGTGCATTTCATTTGATGCCTGGAAACAATTTGGGTGTTTAATATTTTGCCCTTTTCTTAAAAACAGCTTTTAGAAATTAACTGGACAGGACTGACTAATCTTCTGGATATCCCTGGATTAAAGTAAGTGTTTTCTGGGGTTCTTTTACAGTTAGCTTGTTGGTGATGTCATCTGTGTTTTTAGTGTCATAAAGGAACATGATAGCCTTTTAGACCCGTGACTTGCCAAGTAGAATTAAGCCTTCTCAATAAATCCTCATGAAAAATGAGCAGAGAAAGTATATTTGGGCTTTGTTCTTATAACTACCTATTAAAACACTACTTGAGTCCAGTTGAGCTAAAGTGAAATGGTTTATGAGTGCTTTAGATGAAATTGCTAACCCTTTATTTACTTTTTGTTAATTATAAGGCATCTTTATAGTCTTGGTATATTAGAAAAGTAGAGGCCTCTTGACCTCTTAATATTCAATAAATGAATTTGATTTTTATTATTTTCCCATAAACAATAAAGAAAACTTTGAGAGTAAATATGTTTTCCAAGACTTATTCTTACAATACTCTTCCCAGGCCATTGCTCACCCTCCCCTTTCTTCCTTTTGTGACCTTTCTTCTTCGTCCTTGAAGGAGTAGGGGTCAGGTCATTGTGGACCTGGTAGCTTGTAGAACTGCTCTAGTAACTAGGTGTGAGAGGTGAGGAACTTGTCCCCACGAGTCTGTGCAGACTTCTTTCATTTAGTATCTACAAAGCAATAAAAAATATCCTAAAATAAACATCTGAAACCAAGAGGGAGGCAGAGCTCCTAGGAGGAAGGTGAAGCTGTTCTAGGTGAGTGACATTCATATCACAAATGGTGGACCCAATGCATTCCTCACTCTGCTGAGTACAGCCTGGAGGACATGTCTTTTCCCTCCCCCACTACTTCCCATCAGAAGGGACACTGTGTCTCTGTGCTTATCCTCCAAGACTAATGACCCTTGTCCCTGGCAACTTTAGACTGTACAGAAGATTAGAAGAAATGTTGGCTTCAGGTTGGCCCAGTTGTGTCAAACCAGAACAGCAACCCCTTCCACCAGGCAAATAGCAAGAGATATGATGAGAGAAAGAGCATGCAATGTAACTGGACTCTGGGGCCCTCCTCCCTGTCTTCGAAGACACCAATCCTTACTATTTGCTGTGAGGCCTCCAGGAGGTGCCCCCTCTAAGTCTCACTTACTGCCAATAGAAAATTATCACCCTGTGTCCTCCAGTTAAGCAGAAAGAGAGGAATGGACAGCCACTCCTGAAAAAACAATAATGCACAAATAACTCTGCATAATTGTGGCATGTTCATATTCTTAATCAGCTGATGTTAGCAAATAACAAACTAGGTCTTCACCTAGATTGTATTGAGATCATGAATGGAAAAGTCTCCAAATTACCTTGTCTAAAATTCCCTATAGCACTTTCTCATATTGTGCTGGTCTTAAGGCCAAATGGCTGGCAGTAGTTTCTATGTCTCAATAGTCGAAACCCTCTGATGCATATAGGCCAGCACTGATTCTATCCTGAATGAGGCCTGAGCCCTTGGAAGAATGCAGCAGTAATTCCGTGTGCTCATCTTGAGTCCTGCACAGAGCGAGAGATCCAGATAGCAGAGGATGTACAGGTAAATAAGAACCCAAGCAAGCATGTGACAGGGAGACAGCATGCGCTCAAACACACAAAAAAAGAAGGAAGGAAGGAAAGGAAAGAAAAGGGTGTGGATGGCAACTGCTTTGGGCAGAACTGTTACCACCAAATGGAAAATTTTGAGATTTTATAACCTAAATTTAGTTTTGCAGGAATGCATTACTTATTGGTTAAAGTCACATATGGTTCAGTGAATTTTTCTTCCCTAAAATAGCTAAGAGTTAAATTATGACAGCTTGGTTTAAAACTATTATTTTTTTCCCCTGCTGAGTACCTGAGTATTTGTTTATATCTCTGAAATGGCCATTGGAAAATTTGTTGCATTAGAAGGGAAAAATTACAACTTGAATAATCTGAAGCTTAGTCATAATAAAAGGCTTTTTAAGGTACTGTTGTTTACTGAATACAGAAAATTAGTGCTGTCTTTAAAAAGATGTTTTGGGGGAAAATGTAACTTTAAAGGATTTGTTTAAATATTCTCTAGGATTCTTAGTCATAGCCAACAGTCTCAGATGATGTTCAAAAAGTAATAAGTGATATTTTTCAAAGGCAGTTTTGTCACTTACCCAGCCAATAGGCATTGAGTGCTTACTCTGGGCCAGTGTCCAAAAAGGACAGTCATGATCTCACCTTCCATGTAAACTCCTAAGCTGGAATGTTCTCTGAGGGTTCTTTGAGGGGTTTCAGTTGGGTGTTGATGTGGCAGTGGCGCTCTGTCCAGCAGCCTGTGAGTGTCCTCTTGGCTTTGCATTCCCCTTGTGGTTGAACAAGAACCTTGTTCCTCAGGATGAGCTCATGTATGCCAACCTAAACAGAGTCATAGTTCTGCTGATCACCTTGGGTCTTGTGCACTGCTAGAGCAGGTTTGGGGGATGCGCAAACCAAGGCAACAGCATGAGCCAGGACTCGAAACTCAATAAATTTATATCAAGCTAGATTTAAAAAACATTTTTTATTTTATGACACAATTCTATAGGCTCTGGGATTTCCCCTTGTCCCCTCCACAACCTCCTTCTCCTCCATGAATTTCCCCCAAATTTTAACAGTAGTATAGTCCTTCATAAGCAATCATAAGTCTGTCATTTTGCTATCCAAGTATATGCTGACACTGCGGGAATGGACAAGTCCAGATTCCTGTTGTCAAGCAGGCGGACTTTTTTTTAAAGATTTATTTTCTTATTTGAAAGGCAGATTTACAGAGAGAAAGAAACAGAGAGAGGAAAGGATCTTCCATCTGCTGATTCACTCCCCAAGTAGCCGCAATGGCCAGAGCTGAGCTGATCTGAAGCCAGGAGCCAAAAGCTTCTTCTGGATCTTCCATGTGGGTACAGGGTCCCAAGAACCTGTGCCAACCTCCACTGCTTCCCAGGCTATAAGCAGGGAGTTGGATGGAAAGTGGAGCAGCCAGGACACAAACGGGCACCTCTATGGGATGCTGGTTCTTGGAGGTAAAGAATTATTCCTGTTGGGCCACAGCTTCAGCCCCAGCAGGTAATTTTGAATTTAATAATTTTGTATTCACCTGTGAATGACATAATAGATATTCTGATGGCACTTGTGAATAGATGCTATTTAGCCAGTTGAAGCAAAACTATACACAGTTAAGTGAGGAAAAGAAATAGTTTGGAGTCTGGGTTGTGGAGGAGCAGGCAAAGCCACCTCCTGCAGCATTGGTGTCCCGTATGGATGCTGGTTTATGTCCCACTGCTCCACTTCCAAGCCAGCTCCCTGATAATGGCCTAGGAAAGCAACAGAAGATGGCCCATGTGCTTAGGCCGGGAGGAAGCTCCTGGCTCCTAGCTTGAAAACCCACCCCCAGCCACTGGGACCATCTGGGGGGGTGAGCCAGCAGATGGAGGACTTCCTTCTCCCCTTCTAACTCTAACCATGACTGTCAAAAGGAAGTCATTCCACATTATTTGCTATTTGTGTGTGAATAAACACACAGAGGCACACACATATATGTAGATGCTATTTGTGTGTGAATAAACACACAGAGGCACACACATATATGTAGGTGCATTTTGTTTAAGGTGGATAGGTTCTTTTTGTACCATGGTCACTTTTAGCTGTTGTTTTACACTCATGTGTGTAGTATGTAAAATGTGTGCCTGTATATTTCACATATACAGAATCATTGAAAGTTTACAATTATGTGCATATGAGTTACCAAGAGATACACATACACTATTCAGAATCCAAGCTCTCTGTGCTCTAACAGGGATACGTTGAACTATTTGTTTAAAATTTATTTATATACTATTTATAATTTATTTGCGGGTACTTCAAAAAAAGTTGTCCGGAAATGGTATTGAAACACATTTTATGCAAAATTTTTGAGATCTGTGTTTAGTTTTTTCATGATACGCATTTTACATTAGCTTTTTGAAGATCCTTTTCATGTGTGTGTTTCCAGCTTTTTCATTGAAATAACCTTATCTTTTAATTTCATTTTTCCATGAACCTTTTGAAGTGTCCTCACATATAGTTATGTAAATTTTATATATCATATTTTATATAATTTTTACATGGTAAACTATGCATACTTCAAATTGGGATTACTAGTTCTCAGATTTTCTGTCAGATAAATTATCTGTAAAAAGCTTTATGCTAAAAGAAAAAAAATAATCACCATGAATCTGACATAATGAAATCTTACCCAGGCTTTATCAAATGACATTCTGTGGTCATTGATCAGAAAATAGAGCCGGAGTTCAGCCTTGGCGGCTCAGGTGACAGCAGCTCTCCACAATGGTGGCAACCCGCTTGCAGAGAGTACCCAGGCCAGGTCGGACCCAATGCCTGGGACTCGACCCCTGGGCACTGCTGCCACACGGTGACCGAGTCCTGCCCGCTGGCCACCTGGCGGTGAGCTCTAGGGGTTTTAGGGTATGTAATTGCTGTTTAGGGACATCCAGGGATAAGGCCAGTGTGAGTAGGTGAGGGATGAATTCTGGGTGATTCCTAGCGATGGGGTCACGGAACTTGCTTGCAAGCCTGGGGACTGAGATCTTAGGAGTTGGAGGGGAGATTCCATAAGCTCTATTTGGGCCAGACTGATTCACCAACCCACATGGGAATCCTGAGATGGGCTGTTAGCATAGAGCATCACTAACTGACACACACCAGTCCACACCAAAGCTATGACTGGAGGCCTGTCTGACAAAGCTAGGCACCAGTACCTGACCAAGTGGCAGAACAGCAGATGGGTCACACTTGGCAGGGTCAGGACACTAATCAACATGTGACAGAACCAGATCTGGGGATAGATTCTCTTGGGGAAGAGTGGGCCTAACCCTGTGGAAATACAAGTTCCACTGGTTAGCTTGCAAGTTGGGGTGGTGATGGGCTGAGCTATGTGTGACCATGGAACCTGCCATTACTTACGGGTTAAGGAACAACAGTCTGGGCAGGTCAAGGCAGCAGCACCTGAAAGTGCATCCTAAAACAGGATGTGGGGTGGGCCGAGCTGCAACTGGAAGGGGGTAGACCGGGCAAGGCCGAGCAAACCTCAACTCACAGGAAAAGAACAGAAATCAGGATGGAACACAGGTCATGCCAAGCTAAGCTCTTACACTGGTTGGTCTGCATGAGTCAGGGATACAGAGTTGGGTCAAGCTGGGTTTGGTCGCAACACATACCAATGCACATTACAGCTGGGATTGGATGCCTGCTGGGCTGGGCTAGGCTATAACCCTCACCAGCATCAGCTAGAATTGGGGGTAGGCCGGGCTAGTCCAGGCTGCAACACCCACTGGCAAATGCCAAGGTGAGTTGGCCATACCAGACTGGGCTACAGCGCCCAACTAGCACACGTGAGAACCAAGGAGGGAGGGGGCAAAGACGGTAAGGGAAATGTGGGGGACTCCCCTGCTGGACAGCCACTCCCACTGGAGATCGTGAGCTGGGATGGGAGCAGACCAGACCAGGCAAGGCTCCAACACCTGTGGGCCTCATGCGAGCTGGATCAGGGAAAAGCCAGGCTGGGCTGATTGTTCCTATTGGTACAAGCATAAATTAGAGTGGGTGAGGTTGGTTGGGCTTTACTGCAGCACCAGCTGGCAGAGACTGGCACCAGGGGCTAATTCTGTCAAGTTAAACTGCAGAAGCACCTGGAGAGTGCATATTTCAGGAGTGGGAGTGGCCTAGGAGGGAAATAGTGGGCACCTCCCTCTTGGGTTACCACTCTCTTTCGTGGAGAGCACGAAAACCAGGACGGGGTGGCTAGACAGAAAGGCACCCGCCAGTATATATATGTGGGCTGGATAATAGGGCAGGTTGGGTTGAACTAGGTTTCAGTGCCCATTGACATGATAGATGGGATTTGGGGCAGACTGTACAAGTCTGTGGTACAGAGTGGGAAGCATGGAAACCAGGTTAGGGGGCAGGCCTGGTAGGGGTTATTGGGAGTCATCCTGACCAGGCTATAGCTCCCACTGATTTGCATGAGGGCCTAGTGTGTGCTGGGCAGAATCAGGCTGCACTGCAGCAACCATTGGTTCACATGAAAGACAGAGCTAGAAACAGAACTGACCAGCAATTGCAACCACCAGCATATGCGTGAGCTGATTGGGGCAACAGACGGTGCCGGACTCTGTATTAGCAAGCACACACAAGAATCAGGTCTGGGATCACTTCAGACAAATTTTCTCTGTGGATCCCTCCAACTGAATTGCTCCTTTCAGAATCCCAACCATGAAGAGACTATGTCATTCAGTGAATTCTGAAGAGATTTCATCGTGCTTGGAACAGCAAGACTGGCAGCAATTCAGACCTGTTGAACTATCAAAACTGCTTGAGCAGGACCCTCGGAGCATGCCTCACATTGGAGACCTGGGATGGGGCTTTTCCCTTTATCTCTTCCCTGGCCTTGGATACAGAAAAAAAATAATATTAATGTGGAAACAGTGGTCTTACCCACTTTGTAGCCCTTGACCCTTTGTGCCCTAATCGAGTACGTAAAGATTACCAAGAATTAAAAAGAAAAGAGAGCCGTGGATAGGACACGAGTGAGGTTAGGAGAAGTACACGAATCACACAGATTGTGGCCTTCCTTTTGATGAAATCGTTTTCAGTGACGAGCTCTGGATTGATCGTTGATGACGTAAGAAAGGATGAGAACCATGACAGAAGCAGAAGTGAGGGCGAAGAACCGCCATGGTTCTGATGCACACAGCGGGAAAGCGGGAAAGGAAGACCGGTGTTCCCACAGTGGCCAGTACTGTGTCATGGCAACACGAGGAGATGGTTCCAGAGATGTCAGTCAAGTAGACAGGCTCACAGCTTCGAAAGGTTTTTTTCTCTGTCAACATGACCAGGGGAGAATAACAGAATCAGGGAAGTTCTTGGCATTAAGAACTGTCAAGGATGGGCTGATACCTTCTTTAATGATAGAGTGTTCCTGTCTGCAGGCTGGACTCTCCTGGAAGCACTGAGCGGTATTGTCTGTGTTTTTGGTTTTTGTCCCGCATTAACCTATAAGATCCTTAACGTAAAGCACCACGTATCCTTGTACATGAACCTTGTCCTACCATGTGGCTTTGTCACTGAGTGATGACAAAGGTAATATTCTCTGTGTGAATCTTTTTAACAGCTAAGAAATATTGGCGAAAGTGAGATTCTTTTAAAATTCACACTTCAGGTAAAGGTGTTCTGTAGCAGTGAAATTTGCGTTGATACTTGCTTTGCAAGGTGCGACCATATGGGCTTCATTTCAGTCTCACACTTACCCTCAGGAAGAGGCGGAAAATATGGGAACAATGTGTTCCCTCCTTTAGTCTGTGCCGCTTTATCTGTGCTACTATGTGGTAGTATGTAGAAGTTCAATAATTAGTACCTCAAAAAACTTTGATCATGTGTGGAGAGAGAGCAAACTAAATCCTATTTTATTGGGAATCAATGCATAGCAACAGGGGATATTTTTACATGTAGATTAACATGGGCTGGGTTAAGTAATGCTACCATATTCTCTGTATTTTTATATGTTTGGATATTAATTCAATGAAAGGTTTCTTATCATCTGTGATCATTACATCGAATAAACTATTTTGGAAATTATGGAATGTTGCTGAAATCCTACTTTGTGTTCTGAAATTAAATGCTATGTTGTAGTGACTATAGTAGTATCAACGTAAGTGTTGAAACGCTGGCTTTAACTATCATATTGGAGAAGTTACATGTAAACAACTCCTGCCCCGTGAATGGGTTATTGTATCATGTTGCATTTGTTTGAAAGGGGGCCTCAAGTGTTGGTATGCCTGATTGTTCTTTTTTCCTTCCCAACTGACAGTGGTTTATCAGATACTATCATTCTGGATATCATATCAAACTACCTGGTGCTTCCCAATCGAATCACTGTTCCTCTTGTCAGCGAAATTCAAATAGCTCAGCTACGGTTTCCTATACCAAAGGTAAGCGTGTGTTATAACCCACTAACATTAAGAACAGATATTGAAGGCATTTCACATGGCTCTTCTGTCTCTCCTAACAGCTAAACTTGCTGCATTCCTTTGATGTAGGGATCTGAGCCACCCTGCTTAGATCCTGAACCCTCCTTGGAGACCTGAGGGTAGTTCTTCTACCTCGGTCATGTTCTTGACAGGTGCTTATGGGGATTTAATTCTGCAAATGTTACTGTAAGTCGCAAGTGACAGCTCTCACAAGCACAGATGCCTTTGTTATCTCAGCACATTTTACATTTGTCTTTATTAAAATTTAACAGCTCTCAGAAATGAGTGCCAGTTTCCTGGTGATTATGAAAAGAACCTGAATAAGGATTTGTATAGGTTTTCTCTTGTATATTTGCATACAACTGCAGAGTCACTCATATGAGCAACATAGCAGAAGAAACACTTATTCATCAGTTGGCCAGGTCACATGGAAAGCACCAAACGGGGGTAGCGGTAGCCTCACGTTTGTCAATGGGTCTCTTGGCATGGCTGGATCCCAGTGTCTTCCTCTGTGTATTGCAGATGCTACCTAGCACACAAGTCACTTGATCTAACCAAAGGTTGTGAAGATTTCCTGGTCAGGAGCATGAAATTCCTGCTTGATCAGGAAGCAATGATGCTAGTGGGTTAGCTCAGCCACCTGGATGTTGACTCCTAATCTCTGTGATGGATCTGGACTTTGTACTCCCGAAGTCTAATCAGTAGTACCGTCCTGGTATTGTTGTCTGCAGGAGGCTAGAATCAGAAATGCAGCCAAGACTCAAACCCAGGAATGTGAGCTTTCCACATGGTGACCCAACCACTGCACCAAAATCCAATTAGTCATTCTTATATATTATTTTTAAGATTTCTTAGTTATTTGAGAGGCAGAATTACAGCAAAGAAAGACATCTTCCATCAGCTGGTTTCACTCTCCGAAAGACCACAACATCCATGGCTGAGCCAAGTGGAAGCCAGACGCCGAAAGATTTATCCTGATTTCTCTCATGAGTTCAGGGGCCCAAGCACCTGTCTTCGGCTGCTTTTCCCTGGCCATTTGCAGAGATCTGGATCACAAGTTAGAGAACCTGGAACTCGAGCCAGTGCATATATAGGATGTCAACCCTGTAGGCAGCAATATAACCCACTGCACCACAGCACTGGCCCCCTCCACTTTCAATCTAACTCCCTGCTAATGTGGATCTTGGAAGGCACTGGGTACTTGGGTCCCCTCTACCCATGTTGGGAGATCCAGATTGAGTTCCAAACCCCTGCCCTTAACCTAACCCACCTTTTCTATGGAAGGCACCTGAGGATTGAGTCAACAGATCACGCTCTCTCTGTCTCTCTGCCTGTCAAATAGAATTTACATTTTAAATTATTTTTTGAAGTGATATTATTGAAAAATGTTGGAACAGTTCTTGTGACACAGCATGTTATGCTGCCACCTGCAGCAGCAGCATCCTATATGAGTGCTGGTTCTAGTCCCAGCTGCTCCTCTCCCAGTCAGACCGCTTGCTCGTGTGCCTGCAGAGGAAGCTGGTTCTCAAGCACTTGAGCCCTGCCACTCACACGAGAGACAGGTGCAGCTCTTAGATCCTGGCTTTGGCCAAGCATTGCCTGTTGCAGCTGTGTGGAGAGAATGAATCAACACACAAAAGAGGGGTGGGTGTGTGTGGGTGTGTGGGTGTGTGGGTGTGTGTGTGTGTGTGTGTGGGTGTGTGTGTGTACCTTTTTCTAACTCTGCCTTTCAGGTAAATAAATTAATCTGTAAAAGAAAGAATGCTGTTGCTCCATTAAGCTTTATACATATAAAGGCAAAGATTTTTGTAATGTGTGCATCTGCAGAGGGGCTTATCTTGCTTGCTGATTGAGTCAGGAATATCACTGTAAAGCTCTTTAAAAGGTGAGGTCAGAATGCTACCATACACCACCCTCGTTTGCTTTGAAAGTAATCTGAATGGGTGTTTTTTCTTTTATCGATAAAACAGCGTTTATGAAATACTTCAGTATTTTAGTTTCTTCTGGAAAGAAACTTCTTCCTGATATTTTGCATTATTGTTCTAAAAATGAAATGGTGTAGTGACTGCACATCTTTTTGTGTTGGTTGTTATCATGGTGCCAGATTCTGTGCTCAGCAATCCCTTTGGGCTCAGCGCAGGGTGGCAGCAGGACCTCTGCCCACCCAGGAAACCCTGCCAGCTGTCTGTGTGGTCACTCTGCCGTGTCTCTCCTGAGGGGTCTATATAACTGTAAAGAACTGAACTTCTGCCATCTAAAGCAGAAATATATGGCACTGTCTTCTTTCGCTACTTTGGTTAATTCTTAGTGTCTGTCACCTGACTTTGGCTCATTTGCTGAATTGCCAGAATACACTGCATGAGAAGAGGGTTTCTGCTGTGTCATTGCTGTACCCCAGTTCATACACTGGGATCACCCACAGAGCAGTCTTCCATCTTTGTGCAGTGAGCTGATGACTCCTCTGCATGCTTGTTTCTCCTTTCAGGGAGTTCTAAGGATACATTTTATTGAAGCTCAGGATCTTCAGGGCAAAGATACTTACCTTAAGGGACTTGTCAAGGGGAAGTCAGATCCCTATGGGATTATCCGAGTTGGCAACCAGATCTTCCAAAGCAAGGTGATAAAAGAGAACCTTAGCCCAAAGTGGAATGAAGTGTACGAGGTAAGCTGTCGCGTGGTGAGTGAGCATGGAGCAAAGCGTCTCAAGTCGGACTCCAGTCTCTTCACATCAGCATGTTTAGGATATCATTTAAGTATTTCTGGTGTAATTGTCCACCTTTGAGAGAATATTATTCCTTCTTTTCTATCCTACAATATTCTTGTGGTGCCACCTCCTAGGATTTTAAACTTTAATTGCACAATTCTGTCATAGTGAATAGAATGCACTTTGTACTCCACCAGCTCCCCATTCTCTGTTCCTTTCAATCTTGTCCCTTCTCAGTTTCTTACACTGAATGGTAGTAAGTAATAATTTAAGATTATTTCAAACCTGGCACCTGATTAGGGCATCTTGTCTTTGGAAAAAGAGTTACAGATTGCACAACCTTTAGTCTGTCCCAAACCTTGAATCTGGCTTGTAAGTTGACGTCCTGTAACACTGTCTTAGGAGGCTGAACTTGACCCATTTGAGATGTAATCCAGATAAATGGACAGAATCCACTGTTGCTGTGTGAGAGGAGAGTATTTCAGAGTAATCAGGCTACCAAAAGTATGTGTGATATGACAGTAAGGAAACTTACCTGTGTTAAAAATGATTCACTGCGAGAAGGAGCACATGTGGTATTTACACTTGGCTGTGATGCTCAGGACGTGACAGTGTTGGTAAAAATGCAGTAACTCTTAACCATCCATTCTCCAGGCTTTAGTCTATGAACATCCTGGACAGGAGTTAGAGATTGAGCTCTTTGATGAAGATCCAGACAAGGATGACTTTCTGGGAAGGTAAGTAGAACTCTTCTTGGCTGTTTGGAGAACGTAGGCTTTCGTTTACATTTTAATAATCATTGTTTAAAATTTTAAATATATTTATGTAATGTGTATTTTAGTGGATTTTCAATATGTAGCATTTGTTTCACCTCAGATTTCTTTAGCTATTTTTATTTCTAAAAAATGTCATGTTAAAGAGCAGAAAAATTCCTACATCTGTGTTGTCCATTACATTAGCCACTGGCCACATATAGCTACTTAAGTTAATTAAAATTCATCAAATTAAAATATATTTATTTTCTTTTTCGGCACTTTATTTAAAATGCTGAATATTTACATACAAAATCTGCTCTCTGAATGGAGAGTTCTTGTGAACAGCTTTGCTGTAGATGATAAAAACTTGTGTTCTTAACATTTTCAGTTTGTTGAAATACGATAGCTTACACCATTGCCTACACACCAAGAAAATAAAGTTTTGATTTGCTTACTTCAGTTGGGCTACAAGAGTTGAAAGAAAGAAACTTTAAAAAATATGTTCTATCTAAAAAAAAATCTATTATTTAACCTAGTTATCATTTAACTGAATTTATTATGGCAAAAGCAAATTACAGGGTTAGATGACCCAGGAGAGTAGTGCCTCATCTAGAAATATTTTTGATGTTGCACCCTGACTTTAGAATTCATAAAGCTAAAATAGACAACGGGGAGCAAGTGAGAGGATTTTTAAGCTGGACAGTGATCAGATTTGCAGTATATTCTAGTAAAACCAGGGTGTGGATTAGATTGTTGGAGATGATTGAAGACCAGCAAGCCAATTAGGGTACTGTTGTCATAGTCAAAAAGTGAGAGTCTGCCCTGAAACACGGATTGTAGGGACAGAATCAGGAGACTCCACTGAAACACGGATTGTAGGGGCAGAGTGGGGAGACTCCACTGAATCTCGGATTGTAGGGGCAGTCGGGGAGACTCCACTGAATCTCGGATTGTAGGGGCAGTCGGGGAGACTCCACTGAATCTTGGATTGTAGGGGCAGTCGGGGAGACTCCACTGAATCTTGGATTGTAGGGGCAGTCGGGGAGACTCCACTGAATCTTGGATTGTAGGGGCAAAGTTGGGGAGGGCACACTGACAGGGATTGTCGGGGCAGAGTGGGGAGACCACAAGAAAAGGTAAGAGTACGGTCAGTGAATGTTGCTTCTGGCTTCTGTTACTGTTCTTAGAAATACAGAAGGATTGTTCAAAGGGAAGTGGAGTTTGCTTGGTCTGGAGTGTGCTGAGCAAGAGGCTTCTGGGGAGCTTATCTAACACAGGTCCAGGGCTCAGGAGCAGGAATGGAAAGGCTGTAGAGTTACAGCTCAAAACTCAACTACTCATATAACTGTGCTGAGTGCATAGTGTTGAGAACAGAGCTGGGGAGAACATGCAAGATCAGAGGACCAAAGGGTCTTTAAATATTCCTGATGCATACCATGTCGTGGCCACTTTTATTCTTGCTTTATATCTCTAGCCTGAATGGGCCAAACTCAGTATTTTTTGGCCTCACAAACACTGCTCTTTTTTTCTCCATTATAAGCTGGAGGGCACTTTTGGAAGAAGAGTCCGTCTGTTGATAAATTACATAGCATTTTGTTGCATTTCTGGAGTACTTGGTCATAGACAAATACTTAAGGTTGTTTCAATAGTAAGAAATGTGTTTCTATGTTCTAAAACTGTTGTATTGTTATTTCTATAGTCTTATGATTGATCTTATTGAAGTTGAAAAGGAGCGCCTTTTAGATGAAGTAAGTTTTCTTTGAGTATTGGTCTATTTCATGAGCATTGAGTACCTGCTGTGTGCCAGAGAAGTTATGAACCACCACGGTCACCCGTCCACACAACAGAGGAATCCTAATTAACACCATATGAGCAGATCTGATCCACCAGCATGAAGCATTTAGACCTTGTAATAGCAAAGTGAAAAGAAATTGAGTCATAATATCAGATAGTAAGTACTGAGTACCTGTATATGCTAGACATTTTTTACAAATGTGAAACATGAAAATGACTTTGTTACACGCAGCTGTGACCGCTGAGGGGGTTGGAGCAGAGATGCCTAAGAGGCCCAGTGTCATGCCGATTTCCACGATGTAGTGGAGTTCACAGAACACCACATGATGGAGCTAGCCATCACCAAGGCTGATAATGCTGAAATGAGGCATGATTAACCTAATCAGTGTTGAGCTTTTGCTGCTTTCAAAGGAAAGCATTGATTCAAAAAGTGTTTATTGTGTATATGGTGTGTGCTGGATCCTGGGTATATAGCATTAGACAGAAAAACAAATCCTGCTTCATGGGGTCTTTTTTATCAGTGAGCATTTAAGAGCCATCTTTATTTTTAACCAACACCGATTGTACACTGTCTTATTAGTTGGTATCTGGTGATAAATAAAAACCAACACTTGTTTGAGACTCTCCCTTGAGGATCAGTGTTATATTATCCCTTGGACTATAAATTCCATTTATATCCATACCTGGAAGATTTCTCCAGCACTGGAGGTGCTGATAGCACTTACTTCAGAGAGTTTTGCTAGGATTCAATGGGTTGATATTCTAAAGCATTCACTGTGATCTGCAGTGGGCAGCACCGTGTAAGTACTAGCCCTGCTGTCATCGTCAGCATCCTCAAAGGTCTTTGACATTCAGAGGGCATGAAGCTGTGTGTGCTAAGATTCCGACTGTTGATGCTTGACAATTCATAAATAAGTGGTAACCTCATGGAGGTTTTTGATTTCAAAGTGCTTTTTCTGAACTTAAGAACGTCTCCTCTTCAGTGGTTCACTCTGGATGAAGTGCCCAAAGGAAAGCTGCACTTGAAGCTGGAGTGGCTGACGTTAATGCCCAATGCTTCCAACCTTGATAAGGTACTGTCAGGTATTTCCTCTTGATAAGTAGCCACTTCTAGCAACTAAGATTGCCCTGCTTAAACAGATGGCGCTGCTTAATTTTAAGATATCATCAGTAATTTTTCTTCTGTTGCTATACCTCACGATAGCAGTCTCTGGGATAAATTAAAGATGATGAAACTTTTTTAAAAATGTTACAGGGTCAAACATTTTGGAGTAGTGACTTAAGCCACCACTTGGCTTATCCGCAGCTCTGGCTGTTGAAGCTTTTGGCAAGTGAACTAGCAGATGGAAGATTCTGCCTCCCTCAATCCTTCTCTTCCACTCTCCTACCCGCCTGCCCTCGCCCCTTCTCTCCCATGTGCTCTCTCTCTGTCTCCCCCGTTCCCTCCCCAATCACTCTCTCTTTGATCTGTCACTCTGCTCTTCAAGTAGATGAAGTTTTGAAATACAGTTTATAGTCACATCTATATTGCATACTTGCTTTAGTGCAGGAATTTGGAAAGCCACATATCACCTAAGTGTAATTCATTTGTAGGAGAAAAGTAGTCTAGCCATTTAAAAGGTATTTGATGTTTTTATTCTCTTTTCATTGCATGTATTGGCTGGTTTATTTCTTCCCTCTCTTACTTTGCCAAGCATATATTCTCAGGTTGTTAGCATACAGTCATGTGGAAACACGCCTGGTAAGGAGTTCTCTCCTTTCCTTTAGGTGCTAACAGACATCAGAGCTGATAAAGACCAGGCCAATGACGGTCTTTCTTCGGCATTGCTGATCTTGTATTTGGATTCAGCAAGGAATCTTCCGGTAGGTCACGCTGTGGTAACTGCTTGGCAGCTTGTTGCTGGGTTGCAGACTTTGCCTGGGGACCACAGCTTTGTTCACCGCAGTGTCACGTGCTCTTGTCTGGCTGTGTCTTCATTTCACTTCCAGCACAAGAGAGCAGCAATGGGGAGCGGACCGTTAGCGGTGGCTTCCGGTGTGCATTGTACATGCATGCGTCTTACTGGGTTTATCCATGCTTTTCAAGATTACCTGTATCCTGGTGTATTTTATGAAGGAATCTCTAGCACATAGAAAAAGATGACTGGCAGTTAGAAGAAAATCCTGAGTATTAAAACTTTGCTACCCAAAGATAGAAATTGCATCTTTGGAATGGGAATAAAATTTTTAAAAAGCTTTGATTACTAGCCCCAGACCGATGCTGTCTGTCGCCTGGCAGAGCATGCGCTGCTCATCCGGTGGTCCTCCACACACATGGTGATGGATGGTGCCGCTGCGCAGGAGAGCCGAGCCTTCAGATACCCAGAATATTTCTGACAGTGAAAAGAAAACGTGAGACCTCCAGATTATCTTCTGTCAGACATTTGATAGGCTGCAGCCTAAGGCATATGATTCTGTCTGCATCAGAATTATTTTGTTCTTAGAAGATATGGTTTTATGGGTAGCAATTATAACCAGGGAGAATACTATTAATTCGATCAGGAGAGGCATGGGACTGTCTTCCAGCATGACACTTGACACCTGCTATTTAAGGTAATGTCGTCATCACTATCAGTGTTACGATGTTTGATAACATTTGAGCACCTGCGTACTTGTTCACCAGTTGGGCATTCTCTGTGTCATTGTGTCATGGCCAGTTTGTTGAAAGAAAGAATACTGTTCCCCAGAGACTCTGGTTTTCCCTCCCAGGATTGTCTGTTGTATAATTCCTCCTCGCTTACTCACTTCAGGAGATTTGTAAATAAAGAGCCTCTGTTGATATTTACTTGGTGGAGCTGGACAAAAAAAAAAAATGTAAAGCGTTTAGCCACACCCTTTTCAGTACTGCATTCTCGGCTTAACTATAAATATCTCGTGCAGGGTATTCTCACTGTATGTTGGAATTCGTGAAACATACACTCTTTGTGTCATTTAGTACCTTTCAAGGTGTGAAAATTGTGCATTTACACGAGCTTTAACCAAAAGCAAGGTTAATGGGCTTTGCTTGTTAATGTGTTTATTTAAAGCTATTACATCAAATGCCATCTTTTTCATACTGGGAGGATATAATTGTACTCTTTATTGTGTATAAATTGCGTATAGTGTATTCTTTCTTTCAGGGACAGAGTCATGACTGATTTTAACTTCATAAAGTCTTGCATTTCTCTTAAAGTATTTCCCGTTAATCTTTTGACCAGTCTTCCAGTCTAAAGTCTGTGATTGCATTCTGTTACAGCTTCAGTTTGGAAAAAGTTACTTCATTATTATTTAATCTCTCTACAGAATTTAGCGTACGGTAAAACTTTTTGCTTTTAACCACAGTGTTTCTCATAAAGTCTTTTACGCTACCTGATCAAAATGAATCTGTTGTACATTTCACAATCTAAGAGACTAGTGTCAATGAATTGGCAGGAAAGAGTTAGGCCTCTCTTTAGAGCTATGCATTTTATCATGTTGTATTGAAATTTGAATAATGTCATATAAACAATTTAAAAAAAAAAAAGCGAATGTGTATTGAAGGGGGCACAGTGCATGAAGTATGCTTATGGCCACCAGAGGCAAAGAATCTTTGCGAAGCCGCTGTCCCGTTGGGGTTGACGTGGGAGCGTTTGCTCAGTGGTTCTGGGGTGCTTGGCCAGAATCTTTGCCTCTGCCTTTGCAATCCTGTTGATTTGTGCTGCTGGCGCACGCATTGACCACAATCCACCGTTCTTTGCTTTCTCCTCCTGTCTCCACTTTCCTAAGAGTGTCTACGAGGGAAGCTTTGGGTGTGGCTACTTAAAGGAGAGGCGAGCTTCGGGACTAGTGTTTTGTGAAAATACTACCTCAGTCTATAGAGCACTATTTGTGAGTCTCCAGTGTTCTTTTTCCTTTTTTTTCTAATGGAGGTTGCTGGAGTGCGGCACTTCTAATGCAACCTGCTCCGTGGTGGAATGCTGTGGCATGCTGTTTTAATTTCTTGCATGATTCCAGTTACCATGTATTTATTTTTTGTTTGGTTTTGGTTTTTTTTTTTTGTAAGATGTATCACTGCTGTAATTTTGATAAGTACATCTGATAATGAGATAAACTTACCTAGCAAGTTGCCTTAGGTTCCTAAATTGCTACTGGCCCATTAAACCTATTTTACAAAATCTTTTGTGGAAGAAATGCATCCATAATGATTAAAATGTATTTTCTTGTGGTTCATCTCAACGTGAGATGTAAATATTTCTTTCACAAGCTTTGCATCAATCTACTTTCTCCTCCTGATCAAACATAAAAGTGTCAGAGGCTCAGCTTTCTTTAAATGTACTCTTTGCAGTCTACTGTCAGTTTCCCAGGGGCGTGGTCATAGGAAGATGGAAATTCCTGTGTTTTTCATGAAAATATGCCCTCTCCTACATGGTTGAATGAGAGCTCCTAAGGGGAAGAAAGCTATATTGCATTTATGATTCAGTTTCTTCTAAATATTTTCTTGGTGTGGTAATTAAGCATTGGCTTCTTTGGGTTTCCTCACATCTCTTTGCCCAAGCCTTTCTATCTGGGGCTTTCATTCCTGGTACACTTCTTGAGGCTGTTAGTAGTAGATAACCTTTCAAACTCGCTTTGGGGTCAGACAAAGCCCTTGGTAGTTTAGTCATGAATCCAGAAAAATCACTCATCAGATTTAATTCAATGATTAATGAGATTCTTAAACTCTGTGCTTTGAATCTGCTAACACAGGCAGGGCTCTAAATTTCTCTAGAGTTTCCAAAAGGTTTCTACAAACACTGTCAGTTTATTCTTTTTCAAAAGGGAGAGCTACAAGGGGCTGGGGACAGTACTTGAAGAATAAGTATTTTGTCCCCTTTTATACATGAAGAAAATCAGGATTGTGAAGCCTTAGGGGAGCCGTGTCAGCTCACAGCTGTTTTAAGATCTTTTTAAAAGTCAAAAGGAGCCCAGTAGCCCATTATTCTACTTTTTCTATCACTTTTTAAGAAAATTGATTTCTGCTTCTGGTATGTCTTAGTGGAGAAGTTCATTACGAATATATAAAAGATAAGATTGCACTACTGTGTAAATTTTGCCCATGTAGGATCTCTCTCTCTTCTCTTTTTCTCTTCCCTTCCTCCAACCTTGCCTTTCAAGTAAATAATCATGCTTTACACTGGTTTACTTCCTTAATGCCAGTAGTCCTAAGCCAGTATGAGGCTGAATTTAGGTCTTTCACAAGGGGAGCTGAAACCTAATAATTACTTTGAGCCATCACCACTGCCTTGTGGGGTCTGCAGTAGCAGAAAGTTGGAGTCTGAAGCTAAATATGAAACCCAGGTACTCCAATGTGGGACGCAGGTCTCTTAACCAGCCTCGTAATGGCCAAGCTAAACCCTTGTCCCCTATAAGGGTTTTAAAAACTGCTCTGTAATATTTAACCTGTAATATTACTAGGCTGTCAAAATTAACTTTGCCTGTGCATTATAAAAACTATATACTGTAACTGATTAAAATATATACACCACATGAAAAGTTTCATAAAATAAATTTAAAGTGTTTCTCATCCATTTGTTTTCTTTGTGTTTTGCCAGTCTTCCCCAATTGGTTGAGTCCATCACTATTACTACAAGAGGGTTTGGATACTGCCTTCAAACAGCCCTATAAAAAGCAGCTTTAGTTTTCAGTTTTATGAGTGCATTGCCACCAATAATCCCCATCTGAAAACACAAATCTATGGAAATGTCCTTTGTGCTGAAAATGACTTCTTTGTAACATTGACTCTTAGAATTGTGACCTTCCTTTGATAAAATCCTGGGCTCGGATTTCGGTCTTGAACAGTAAGGATGTTCTCTGATTCCTGCTGACCAGCTTCAGGGTGTTAAGCTTACCTGAGGCCCCACATTTGTCGATCACTTTGCAATAAACAGGAGGGCCCTGAGGGCTCTTCATGTACATCCAATCTAATCCTCTAATCCAAAGAACATAATTATCATTTGCATATAAGAAAGCCAAGGCAATTCAGAGGACATAAATGACAGATATTCAGACCCTAGGCCATAGATAACAGAGCTGGGCTTGGAACTCAGCCATGTGACTCACAGGTTATGTTCCTGAACCACTCATCCCCCATCCATCCATCCATCCATCCATCCATCCATCCATCCATCCATCCATCCATCCATCCATCTATCTCATCCTCTATTGATCAAATGATCTATCTATCTACCTTTCTATCTGTCTATCTATATCTGAGGTGAGTGGTGTTTACAGTAGTGCCTTCTTTAAATGTAATATTGCTAAGTTATATAATAGCTACCAAAGTGAAGACCCTGATAGGCAGTGATAAAGCTTTGTGCCAGTTACTTTGGTTCTCAAAGGTATGCAGGTGGCTCTCGCTGTTTTAGTTTATTGTGCGTAGCCCAAGGGTGCATGATTCATAACTTCTGAAGGCCTCACCACAGGGTATCTGCCAGGAGCACTTGAATGATCGAGGCTGTCTCACTCACAGGCCTGCATACCCTTCCATAACCTCACACAGCTCCTCTTACACCCTCTCACCCCTTCCACAGCCTGTCTCCTTATTTTTACTTTAATTTCTGCATGTTAGAATAATAGCTATATTTAGTGCAGGCCGTTATGGATCCAAAAGGGAGCTTCAGGAAAGCTTCTGATGATCTCTGAGGAGTGTCCTCATGCTTTAGGGCGCCAGTTTCCAGGATCTCTCTGTGTTAGCATCGCCTACCCATGTCCAGGCTGTGTGCAGCCACAGATGCTACGGACTCAGGTCTACTGAGAGCCCTAAAGCTGAATGGACAGTCAGGCTGTAGTATTGGATGAATTCCTGCCTGGCAGATATTCCGTCTGCTCATCTGGCCAAGTCTGCCAGTCAAGGAAGTCAGACAAGCTACCCATCCCTCTTTCTTCCTTGTAATACCTGCTGGTTAATTTTTTTTAAATTAAAAATCGGGTTCAAATTGTCAAATGATATCATCTTAAATGTTAGTCTTAGAAGAAGCTTGTAAAACAATTCAGTCTTGCCCTACTGAGGGTAAGAAAGTAATGAACTGGGAACAATATATATTTAAATAGGACGTAAAACCCATAATAATCGAACTTTATTTAAAAGCAGAAAAGACGTGAGATGACCTAGCCAGTTAAAGGATGGGGACAAAATAGAGAAGTCGGCCCTGTGTCTACTGTGGCATTACACTAAGAGAATAAGTAAGGTATGACTTGGCTTGAGAGCAATTTGGGAAACTATGGCCTACTAGTTCATGATTTAGATAAGACGTTTGGATATGGTTGCTATTTTAAGGAATTTATTCAGGTAGAAGATAGTAAACAGTAGAATTCACACTCATATTTTTTCAAATTCCAAGGAACAAGGAGGTAGACCGAGTAGAAGGACATGAATTACACAGGTTAAGGAGATATATTTAGATTAAAGGCTCCTTCTAAGAAAAACATGTTGGAGAATAAGAATTTAATAGATGGCTTGTATGGTTGTTTGTGTAATTCTTAGTGGTTTTTGTTTAAGACTTTTTGTTATTCCCATGAATTTTCATATCATTAACCTTACATAACCTCCTCATGGCATGTTTTATTAACCCTTGGTATATTCATTTTCTTCTAACTTTGAAAGAGTAACCCATTAGAATTAGATCCCGATGTCTTGAAGAAGTCTACAGTTCAGAAAGCTTTAAAGGTAAACTAACAGTTTCCGTTAAGATCTCAACATTTTTAAAAACATATTGAAAGAGATGATATTTTAACTCTCGTAAGTTTATTTTGTTAACTGGAGGAGAAATCCTACTTCTGTAATCCAATAATTAGTAGTTAGGAGGATTTAAGTCATCTTCGAAGGTAAATTTGATACAATGCCGATATGATCGTTTTTTTTTTAACCTGTTGCCCTTAGGCAGCAATCTTTAAGGTGACTTAAATATCTGCATTTAATTCGGTCTGAAATTATGAAAATGGTGACATAGAAACTGATATAAAATCATGATTGTTTTAAAATTCTGATTGAAAGATGTGTTTTGTGAACTGTAAATATGCATTTAAAAATCACCTCTTCCAATATGTTGTATTAGGATCATCGCTGAGTCAACAACCTCATGGTTTTTGGTGCTGCTGGGTTTGGGTGATAGATCATTCAAGAAGCTTTTAAATTTCATTCAATGAGGTATATTGAAAACTAAGCTCCACTCCCCAAAAGATGACATTAGCATGCATTCTCTGATTAAATTGCTTCAAGTTTTTTTTTTTTTAATGGCTTACCAAGTTTTACTTTTCTTTCTCTAAGTTCTTTGAATATTTTAGGCTTAAACATTTTGAAGAAGGGGAGATAATTTTAAATGAAACTATTTAAGAATTCTATCCCAAAGAAAAAGGAATGATTTTTAACAAGTATCAGCTAGGAAAATAATTTTCAAGTGAAGGAAACTGGCAAAATCTTCTTAGTGTAATATTTATTAATTTTTTTACTACATTCTATACTAAGAAAAATAAGATGTGCTTTAGTAAGGAATCCTAGTTTTTATTTGCCTGTGTCTGCTGGAGCCCTGAAAGGAATTGTGTGTGCAACCTTTCCTCTCCAGTTCTTGGCTGAGCGAAGGTCATTGGCCAACACAACTCATTGGTTAACAAGGAGGAGTTCAAGCTCTGATTGGATTCAGCAGCACAACTTACAGCAAGATATTTAATTAGCAGTCTTTCTTTTTATGATGGAAGTGTTACCTTCTTCATTGGATCATTCACCATACTAAATAAAATACTGAATGTAAGAGTATTTGATGTAGTTAGGATAATTTCTGCATTGTGATTGGTCTGTTATTATGTGAGCGCTCGCCATGGAAGCCTGGCAACAAGATTCTACAAATGCTCCCATGCCTGTTTTATGCAGCAGATGTACAGATAGAAAAAACATGTTGTCTCCATAGTCACGTGGCAAAAAAAACCAAACAAACTGAGGTTAAAAATCAGGATGATCTGACTTAAAAGCTCATATTTCTTTAATTTTTATTATGGTCTATACCCTTCAACTTGTGCTGATAACATTTTAAAGACAGTCTACCCGTAGAAAACGTGGTGATTAACTTCATTTTATGGAATCTAACACGTCATCCATTTTAACAAGCACCATTAAGAAAGATTATAAAATGCCAAATTAAGTTTTTGGTAGTTTTTATCTGATACTTACTAGAAGAATTTTTGTATTTGAATAAGCTTAGATTTTTATCATGGTGCATGCATACCCAAAAGGAACAGTACGCAAAATAGATTGGTGCAGTCAGCAACAGCTGTCTTACTGCAGACGACTGCCCCAAAACAGATGTAATTTTTGTGCTGTTTTCAATGATATTAGAAGCTAAAGAACGTATTTCGAAAGTGCTGCAGGAACTCCTTAGGGATGGATGGTGTCTTTTGCAGATGAAGTATCTATTTTATCTAACAAGTGAGTTCAACCTTTGTATCAGAGACTTAAAACTAAAAACATCTTAAACAAGACAGAAGCTTGTTTTGCTCTAATGTAACAGAATTCTGGCCCATGGCTCTGCCTTGCTCGTGGGCACGTGGCCCATCTCAGGGATGGGGAGCGAGGAGGGAGACACGCCCCCTCCCAAGCTAGAACACAGGTGCCTGACTGTGACCACCTGCAGAAGTTTGGAGACCGGATCATTTACAGAGGACTTAAGCTGAGCTAAACCTAGGGATTGCAGTAGCAAGCAAGAAGTGACTTGATCTAGGGGAGAAAATTAGTTTTCTCTGCCACAGTAGTCTACAGCCTTGGATCTCCTTTAACAGTGTCTATTTCGTTTTGCAGAATTCATTCACATCAGAAAGATGAACCAGAGACTAGATTATCGCAGTAGGTTTGGGCTAGTCATATTTCCTTTTAAATAGTCATACCACTTGGATACCTATTTCTGTCATCGCTGCAGTGTTGAAAACTGACTAAAATGACTTAACTAAAAAAAAAAATTATGACCTTCTGATTGATGTGCACTAACAGATATTTTAACTGCATCTTCTTGTGGGGCTAAGTTATAAATAAACCTCATGTCACGTTTCTGTTATGTTTAGTGTGTTTTCTATCAGCTGTGTGCTAAGATATGCTTCTTACTTTGATTCCTGAAGTTTTTTCATTGTATTTATATTTGTTTAATTTAGCGAACTTCTAAACTGATGTTTATTCTTCCAGTCAGAATTATTTAGCAGTTGGTAAGCAAGATTTGAAATGCGATAGTTACACATGCTTGTACAAAGGATAATAAAACCATGTGTGGGACACTTTGTGTTATTTTTAGCATTCCAATCACAGAAGTCTTCTGAATTATCCATTCTTTTCTCATATTTTTTGTTTTCCATTCATTGCATTGTATATGTTTTTGTTATTCTAATCAATAAAATAAGCTTTAAGAACTGTAGCTCATATTAAAGATATTTAAAGGATTGATTTTTTCCCAACATGGCTTGCTTTAAAAATAAAATGCTTTAACATTGAAAAATTGTGTGCAAATGAAGTTTACTTTGTGTCAGAGAAAATTATGGCTTGGGATGTGCTTAGCAATTATTTTATGTTTAAATTATATTCAGATATCCTCTGTATGTGAAATATCAGAAATCAATAGAAATAACTATTAATTTAAGCCAGTCATTTCAGTTTTAGTGAAAACCCACTTCAAAATGTGTTTATTTATTTTGCCTTTACTTTTTTTTCTTTTGATAGTCAGGGAAGAAAATAAACAGCAACCCAAATCCTCTCGTCCAAATGTCAGTGGGACACAGGGCTCAAGAGAGTAAGGTAAGGTGCCAGCGCCGGTGCGTTTCCGATGACCGTGCCACTGCCAGTCTTGGGGCAGGGGTGCCGAGTGGCTGTGTGATGAAGTAGGCATTGAGACCATTGCTTCCATATCTTTTTAAAATTCTCTTTAAATCAGCCATTTGGAAAACAACCAGCTGTTTAAACTAGTAACAATCAATAAGAATAATTAATCAAAAGATAAAATGAATATGCTTTTGTATGATTTTATCCGTAGATGCCAGGAATAAAGTCTTAGATTTCTTTAGAGTACTGTATAAAAATTTTAATTTGGAAAAAAAAAAATTTCTCAACAAATACAAGTAGATGCAAGAATGAACCAAATAATCAACCTGTGACTGTTGCTGAAGGACTGTGTATATATATAAAATATACTATTATACTATTGTACTATTGTAATACTATAGCAGAAAATGGCAGGGGGAGGGGGAGTTTGAAGTGTGGAAGGGGAAATCCTGAGCCTATGCAACCATATCAGAAAAGATAAACATTTTTAGAAAAAACAAAAATAAAGAAAGGAAGAAAGAAAAAGGAAAAAGAAAAGGAATTCGCTCAAGGCTGCCCAACTTATGTTCTCCTCTGTGAGATAAAATAATTTGGATGGACCTTGCAGGTTATGCTGAGAATAGAGTGTATGCTAACACTACCAGTATTCAGGAAACAGTGGCTAATGAGTAAAACAACAAAAAAATGTAACTGATTGGCTTCTATTCCCATTTAGTTTTTATATGAGATGTATCATTTGATCATTTAAACCATCTTGATTGCGATTACCATTTAAAAAGAAAAAAAGAAACAGCATTGATATTACTGTAATCGGATGGACTTTCCTAATAGAAAAATGAAACAATTCAGAAGTTAGTGAATTCTAAACCATTATTCACTCACAATTACTGACAGTTTACGAAGCAAGGGCCTGCATGCAGCACCATTGTACACTGGGAGGACTGAGTTCAGGTGACGTCTTTGTGAGTAGGCACACGGGATGGAATTTCCTAACAATTTCCTGATATTCTGGCCACTTTTTCTTTCTTTCATGATGCAGTTCCATAAGCACAGGAATCCGCCCTTCCTCCAACTGCTGCCTAAACACTTGAAACTATCACCATACCTTGAACTGTGTCCATGACGTTTATCAGAGTATATGCTCGGTAAATAGGTGTTGAGTGACTTGGAATTTACTTAAGCTCTTCCTAATCCTCCAGGCGCGTTATAGCAGTGAGCACACCGTGGGTAGTCCTTTCCACAGAAAATACCAGAAAACTGACATTGGCATGTATTTTCCAGATTCGATACAAAACCAACGAACCTGTGTGGGAGGAAAATTTCACTTTTTTCATTCACAATCCCAAGCGCCAGGACCTTGAAATCGAGGTATTTTTATTTGCATGCTTTATGATTAGTTCAAGTAGGCAGTTTGCTGGGTTGTGATCTGTGTACCCCACTGCTGGGTTGCCCCAGTCCCGCACTCCACGTGAGGACGATGCTGTCCCCTTCCCTGAAGCTATGCCCTCTCTGGAGCCCACCCCTCCCCTGCTCTCCACACTATTGTTCTCTTTTCTAGAATTTATATAAATAGAATCACATCATCTTCAGTAAGTAGAATCACAATCCATATGCTTTTTTTGTCTGTACACGTTTTTAGTAATCATGCTGAAGTTCACCTCTGTTGTAAACATTCATGGTTTATCCTTTATTTTCTTTTATTAATTTGAAAGAGAGACAAGATAGAAATCTGCCTTCCACTGATTCACTCCCCACATGCCCACAGCAGCCAGGGACAGGCCAGGCTGGAAGCAGGAGCCAGGAGCTCAGCGCAGGTCTTCTTGGTGTGCCACAGGGTCCCACACTGGAGCCATCATTTGCTACCACCTGGAGTGCACATTAGCAAGAAAATGGACTTAGGAATGGAGTAGGTCTGAAACCCACATGCTCTGGTACAGTTTCCCAAGTGGTACCTGTCCTTAACTTGTATGTATATGTATGTGCTGAATAGTATTTCATGGACTGAGTATATTGCCTTGTATACCCTTCACCTGTCAATACAATATTGAATTCTTTTTTAGTTAATTAATTAATATATTTACATATTCCTTGAAAAGGCAGATTTAAGAAAGGAAAGACAGGGAGAAAGATCTTCCATCTCCTGGTCTACTACCCAAATGGCTGCAATGGCCAGAGCTGAGCCAATCCGAAGCCAGGAGCCAAGAGCTTTTTCCAGGTCTCCCCATGGCCACAGGCCACAAGCAGGGAGCTGGATGGGAAGTGGAGCAGCCAGGATATGAACTAACACCCATATGGGATTCTGGCACATGTAAGATTGAATTTTTGAGGCTGTGTTGAGGCACAACAAGTTAGGCCATCACTTAAGATGGCACCATTCCATATTGGCATGACAGTTTGAGTACTGGCACTCCGCTTCCTCTCCTGGTCCCTGCCAATGTGCCTGGGAAGACCATGGAAGATGACCAGAATACTTGGGTGCCTGCCACCCATCAGGGAAAACAGGTTGGCGTTCTTGGTTTCTGAACAGAACCTGGCCCATATTTGGCATGGTCAACTTCTTGAAAACTGCCAAATGGTTTGCCAGCATGACCATGCCACCTGCACTCCATGGCAGTATGTGAGAGTTGCACATTGACCACATCCCCCCAACACTGTTGCTACTAGACGGCATGGCAGTCCCCCTGCTCCAAGGATGTCATGGTTCATGGTGTCACATCTGCAGTTTAAATACCTCTATATTATAAGAAGAAAGACGAAACCATCCTCAGATAACTATTATTAAGCAATATATTGCTATAGTTCTATTTTACTTATTATTAATTGCTAACTATGCCTAACTTATGGATTAAATTTTAGCCTTTATGTCCATACATCCACTGGTGTTCTTGGATTGTATCTGTTGTGGCAAACTAGACAATGAAAAGTTCTTTCTTTTTTTTTTTTCTTTGTCTTTCTCCCTCACTCTTACTCTCATTCTCTCTGTCTCTGCCTTTCAAATAAATAAGTGAATGTGTGTGTTTTATAAAAGAGTGTTTGTCCTGTGGATAAGGAGAAGCTGCTGTCAGCATCTCACAGTAACTCCGCTGTCATCACTGTTGACGTTGGTCGTCGTTTTGTGTTTGTCGTCTGTCTTCCGTGGTGAAATAGCTGTTCAGTTTCTTTGTCCAATTTTAGTGAGATTGTTTTCAAACTGAACTATAAGCACTTAATATTTTCTTGAAGCAGATTCCTTTTTCCATGTTTTTCTGGTACTTTCTCCCAATCTGTGGCTTGGTTTTACATTTCTTAGTAGTATTTTCATGAGTTTTAAAATTTGATGAAGTTTCAATTTAACTTTTTTTTTTTTTTTTTGCTTTGTAGTCCCTATTCTGCATTCCGTTTCGGTGATATTCGGAAAACTTACGGCTTCCAAGATTTCTCATCTCTTTTTTCTGGAAATTTTGATTCTATATTACGTTTAGATCTGTGATCCATGTTGAGTTAATATTTATTTGCAGTATAAGAAGAGGGTCATAGAACATCCTTTAAAAATATGGCTAGCTATACAGTTAGTTGTTCAACATTTTCTGTTGAAAAATTATTCTTTGAAAAACAAGAAAAAGAAAAATTATTCTTTGTCCTACTTAATGAGGTTGGCATCTCCTTAGAAATCCAGTTGGCCATATGTGAGGGTCTATTTAAAGGGAGCCTTCTGTTTCATTGTTCTTTATGTCTGTCTTTATTACTGGTGCTTTATAAATAAATCCTAAAATTTAATAACCCTTCAAACTTTATTTTTAAAAAATAATTTCAGCTATCTTAAGTCTCCATTTCCGTAGGAATTTTAGTATCAGATTGCCCATTTCTACAACAAAACTGTTAGGATTCGGTAAGAATTTCATGGAAACTACAGTTTTAAGGGAGTAGAATTAAGATCTTAGCAATGTTAAATCTTCCAGTCTGTGGAAACAGCGTATCCATTTATTTCAATATTTTTTAAATGCCCCCAGCAATGTTTTTTAGTGTTTTGGAGAGAAGAGCTTAATTTTTTTTTTTTTTTGAAAGACAGAGACATAGAGAGATTTTTCCATTGATCAGTTCGTTCACAAAATGTCCACAGCAGACAGGGCTACTCCAGGCCAAAGTCAAGAGCCCAGAATTCAGGCCCAGCACCATAGCGTAGTGGCTAAAGTCCTTGCCTTGAACGCACCAGGATTCCATATAGGCGCTGGGTTCTAATCCCAGCAGGACCACTTCCCATCCAGCTCCCTGCTTGTGGTCTAGAAAAGCAGTTGAGGACGGCCCAAGGCCATGGGACCCTGCACCCACGTGGGAGACCTGAAAGAACTCCTGGCTCCTGGCTTTGGACTGGCTCAGCTCCAACCATTGCGGCCGGTTGGGGATTAAATCATCGGATGGAAGATCTTCCTCTCTGTCTCTCCTCTTCTCTGTCTATCTACCTTTCCAATAAAATAAATAAATCTTTTTCCAAAAAAAAAAAAAAGGTGGGGGGCCGAGTATTCAACCAGGGTCTCCCTCAGGGAGGGCAGCGTGCCAAGGACCTGAGCTGTCATTGCTGTCTCCCAAGGGACACAGCAGCAGCCAGCTATTGGTAGGATTCTGATCAGGCACGCTGTGGGTGCAGGTGGCCCAAGCAGTGACTTCATCTGTGTGTGGAACACTGGCCCCTAATTTGTAACTTTTCCTTTTTTTTTTTTTAAGATTTATTTATTTATTTATTGGAAAGTCAGATATACAGAGAGGAGGAGAGACAGAGAGGAAGATCTTCCATCTGATGATTCACTCCCCAAGTGAGCGCAACGGCCAATGCGATGCTGATCTGAAGCCAGGAGCCAGGAACTTTTTCCGGGTCTTCCACACAGGTGCAGGGTCCCCAAGGCTTTGGGCCGTCCTGGACTGCTTTCCCAGGCCACAAGCAGGAAGCTGGATGGGAAGCCAAGCTGCCGGGATTAGAAGCAACGTGTTCAAGGCTAGAACTTTAGCTGCTAGGCCACTGCATCAGACCTACCTCCAAGTTCTTACTCAATGTTATTAAGCTGTGATGAATAGCAGTCTAACACAATAGTTCTTATTACAAAAATCATACTGGAAGTTAATATTCAGGAGAAAGAAATTATCCAGCAGTTAAACGGGTATTGTGACCTTCAAAACAACTATGCAGATTTTTGGCAGAGGAGGCTTAAAAGGATTCTTGGAAATGTCACCAGCAGAAGCTTAACAGGTTACTGTTGGTTAGGACCTTGTTGTGACATGTGACAGAGACATTTGTTATAACGTTACCGCTCTTGCTAAGGAAATCTCATGCTACTGTATCATGTGTGGAAATCCTGCTTAAATAAATCCTGCTGAACTATGTGCGGCATTTTTATTTGACAGGTTGTTTTGATAGTTCATTTTGTGGCCCCTTTCTGCATCTTCTGGAATCTCTGAACCTCGGTTTTCAGCACTGATGTTCTTGCTGTGTGTGTTTTGCAGGTCAAAGATGAACAGCATCAGTGTTCTCTGGGGAACCTCAAGATCCCTCTCAGCCAGCTGCTGGCCAGTGAGGACATGACCATGAACCAGCGCTTCCAGCTCAGTAATTCAGGTCCAAACAGCACCATAAAAATGAAGATGGCCCTCCGGGTAGTGTATAGTCTTTTGCAATCAATACGGTAGCAAATGGGCAGAAAGTGAGTTGGGCAAAGGGAAGCTTGCGGGTCCAGTGCCCAGTGCGGCGGGTATTGCCCCAGGACAGGCTCATTTGTGCTTACTGTGGCTGCTGCTGTGGAGCCACGGACCAATTTAACGGTTCTGTTTGGAAGTGTAAGAACAGTGGCCAAATGTTACCAAAATGCACAGAGAGGTAATAAAGACTGGACTCCCGGAACGTATTTCCGGGTTGCTAAAGTAGGCCCCAAACTCTCCACTATTTTTGCCCAACTGTGTATTTTTGTCTTTGATCCAGAAAGTATCAGAGTTTTTCCCCAAGGTGGAATTTTTCGAAGATTGTTTGGGAGAGCGAATTTAATGAAACTATAAAACAAGTGGAAACTTACAAGTACTTCTTTGTCCAAAATTGATTGCAATTTGTTTGTAAATACCTACAGAAATATTGAAAATAAGGCTGGCAAATATATGGGAAAATGATAAAATTTACTGGTTAAAAAAATGCAAGCCAAAATGAAGGGCCAACTTTAAAAATGTGCTCTTAATTAAACTGTGTCATATTGCTTCTCTCTACAATACCTTGGTTTAGATTTTTAAAGGTTTGTTTGTTTAAACTCAAAGTTACAGAGAGAAAGAGAAAGCTTCTATCCACTGGTTCACTCCACACAAATGGCTACAACAGGCAGGGTTGCACCAGGCCAGCTCCAGGAGCCCAGAGCTTCATCTGGGTTCCCTGAATGGGTCCATGGTCCCAAGCACTTAGGCTTTCTTCTGCTAGTTTCCCAGGTACATTCGTAGGGAGCTGGATTGGAAGTAGAACAGCCAGGACTCAAACTGGCACTCAGGTGCAACACCCATGCTGTGAATAGCAGCTTCCTGTGCCATGCCACAATGCTCACCTCTGAGAAAGTAATTTAAACATTGAGTCCCTCGAGCATGTAGAAATAGTCTCCTTGCATCTGACCAAAGCAGTCGGTATCAGCAAAGCCTTTCCAAGGAAATTCCTCCATCTATTAAAGGAGCCGTTTAGACCAGCGGCTGTTTGTCCAGAAATCTTTCAGTAATAATACAAAGCGTAGGAGACCATGAAGGTAAACGTGTTTGCTCCAGCTTAATTTCCTAAATGCAGAAAATCTTGAGGCTGTCACCATCATCTCCGAGTGGAGGCTGCTCAGAGGCACATCGGGGAGCCCGGGATAGCCAAACAGCTGCTTCGCCTGCGTCTTTGCTTAGAGCCATGTGGCCTCTGGCTGCCGCTGTCTCTGCACTGATACTCATTCTTTGGGGGTGATCTCGCTAGGAAATAGAAGCTTTGGACTTCCATCTCTCTCTCTGAAGTTCCTGCCAGGAACTGTATCTATGTAGAATGGGAATTCAGTCTTCTGCTAAAGAGCCTGTGACTAAAGGCGCTCTTCCAGTAAGAACATGATCCCATGATTGTAGAGATACATTCAGATGAGGAACCTGTTGAATGGCATGGTAATGGTACATGCATTGCCAGAAGTGATACTTTGATTATTTTGATTTGTTTTATCTTAACTTACTGCGACAGAATATTTTTATAATAACTGGATAACTGAATAGACTAGATTTTTTTTTTTAAGTTTTCAGCCTTTTCATTTTTAAAGGTTTTTTTTTAATTTGAAAGTCAGAGGTGGAGAGAAAGACACGGAGAGAGAGAGATGTTGCCCATCCACGGATTCATGCCCCAGATGGCCGGAATGACTAGAACTGGGTTCAAAGCCAGGAGCTTCTTCCAGATCTCCCATTAGGGTACAGGGGCCCAAGGAGCTTGGGCCATTCTCCACTGCTTTCCCTGGCACGTTAGCAGAGAGCTGGAATGGAGAGAGGGCAACCAGAATTCAGACAGTGAATGCTTACACCCCAGGCAGTGGTTTCACCAGCTGTGCCCACAGCACCAGCCCCTCAACAAATTTAAGTGTTTGCAGATGAACACACGTAGATGTGTTGAACTATCAAAGTATTATAACTGCATCATTTTTTTTAAAACCTCTACTTGTAGGTGCTCCATCATGAAAAGCAAGAAAGGCCTCCTGACTACCAACATTCAGCTCAAGTAAAACGACCCTCAGTTTCCAAAGAAGGGAGGAAAATGCCTGTCAAATCTCAGAGGTCTGTGTCTTCGGGCACTGGTGGCAGCAACACGACTCCTTCGACTCCAGTCATTGGGGCTGCAGATAAAACTGGCGTGGAAGACAAAGCCCAGCCCCCCGAAGCCAGCCCCAAGGCCCCCCACGACCTGGGCAGAAGCTCCTCCAGCCTGCTGGCATCCCCGAGCCACGTCTCAGTGAAGGAGCCCACCCCTAGCATAGCCTCGGACATCTCACTCCCCATCGCCACCCAGGAGCTGCGGCAAAGGCTGCGACAGCTGGAAAAGTAAGTGGCCCTGGTGTGCACAGCTGTCCCGCTGCAGGGGTGGTGTTTTCACACAGAGCATGTGTCCTGTGTACTGCAGGGAGAAGGTGGGAACTACCTCTCTCTTAACCGCAGGATCCTAGGTTTGTATCGCTGTTTCGTTCTCTGTGTCTTTGACTTTCAAAATAAAAAGCTTTTATGGACCTAATCGTTTAAAGATTACAGAAAGATGGAGGTGATAAATTTCATAAGCAAGACAAGAAGCTTAAAGCTCTGGACCCACTATGTGGCTCCTCCTCCTGCCAGGAAGAAGAACTCCACAAAGAGTTGACCTGTTGCCTGTTACCGTGTAACATGAGGCTTGGGCAGTAAGTGTGGCTTCTCTGTTGTGGCCACACAGCTCCTGCTGTCTCAGGCTCGGTCAGCACCCCTTGTTACTACCCAGGCTCTTGTCTTCCGTGGCTGTTTGTGCTGACTTCTTACAGAAACTCCTGACCCATACACATGTTCAGAAAAAGAGGGGAAAAAATGTCAGTGTCCGTCACGAGCATTCCGTGTTGAACTTTTTGCTCTCCAAAGAAAAACCCTGACCTTTGAAACAGTTCTTGCTGTTTGCTGTCACAGAAGCGCACTGAGTTATGAACATTAGTCAGAGCAGCGAGGCAAAGGTGAAAACCCGCTTGGCCCTTGATGATTGCAAAAGTGCAAAACTCCAGGCCTGCAGGTCCACCCCAACAGACCCCCTTGGATCCACACTTGCTTCTTTCCTTCATACTTCCCAGTTGGTTTTATTGGCGGGGAGGGGAATCAATGTCTTCCATCTGTTTCTTGAAGGAAATAGAATTCCAGCTTGGAGCCACTTTTTTTAGGAGTTAGGTTTGCTGGCATGCTCTTAGAGCCCACTGAGCAAGACCTTGTACTTCAGCCTTGAGCGCGGAGAAGTCAGTGGAAGGGATAATACGATCTCACCAAGTGGAAGTGGAGCAGCGCTGCAGGCTGAGGCCACCCAGATGCGGGAGGTCACAGGTGTGACACTGCCCAGCCAAGGCTACAGAAGCGATGCTCGCAGCAAGCAGGCCTCTCTGTCTCATGAGAAAACTGCCCGTCTGAATAAGCTTGTGAAACCCTCAAGTGAAATCTGAATCCAATCGATGGTTCCTGCAGAAATTTCTAATCATACTGAAGTTTGTCGGTAATCTGCTTCCTTTTCATCTAAATGAGTCGAAATGCACTCGCTCTGTGCGTCAGGCCAGTGAAGCACCCCATCTCTGAGCTGGCAACTCTGTGCTCTGTTCACACAGTGGGACGACCCTGGGACAGTCTCCGCTGGGACAGATCCAGCTGACCATCCGGCACAGCTCGCAGAGAAACAAGCTCATCGTGGTCGTCCACTCGTGCAGGTGAGCAAGCATGGCCACCGCCCTGTTGTGTTGCTGCAGAAGCTCTTCCCTCTGAGCTCACCAGACAGACAGCTTATGCTTCGTTCCAAAGAGCAAAGCAGTGAGCCACACCACAAATGGCACTAGTGAACGGCACTAATGTTTAAAAAGTATTTGGTTCTCTCAAGAGTACACGGAATATAAAGGGTGCGTACCAAAGGTGAAATCCAAATGACTGGTATCTGTGAGCTCTCATGCTCTCGGTACTTGGGAGAAATGAATTTTATCTCCACGTATTGAAAGCAGTAAGGTTTGCAAGTTTGCCCAAGAGCCTGGTGAGGGTTCAGTGTAACAGAGAAGCTTAAAATTCTAGAATGAACTGTTCAGATTATTAGAAACAAATGCAGTAACAGTGAAGACCATTTTCAGAAGAGCATGTGTAATTCCACCACCCCACAATCACACACCCATATGTATAACCTAGACACGTGTGTACATACATGCATTTTTTTTTATAATTTGCACTATGGCCCAGTCTTTCTTTGTTAGCCTCTATTTTCCATTACTATGATGCTAGCATATACTTTTTGTTCTTCATGCTATTTCATAAATCTTTTCTAGCGGATTCATAACTATTTTACTTCCTTTGTAACATTCCTCTAACTTTCATAGTTTATACAATGTTCCCCATTGTTGCATGTCTAGATTGTGTTACTTGTAGCAGATTTCTCTTCGTTGAAGTGGTTTTTAGAATTATTTACAGGAATAGATTTACCAGCTCATAAGATAGAAAAAGATTATAGGTTCATGATAGATATTGCCCTAGTTTTGTTTTTGTTTCTGTTTTTGTTAAGATTTATTCATTTTACTTGGAAGCTAGAATTACTGAGAGAGGAGAAACAGAGATAGATTCACTGGCTCACTCCCAAAATGGCCATAGTATCCCTGCTGCACTGTCTGAAGCTGGGAGCCAGGAGCTTCTTCCGGGTCTCCTACACGGGTGCAGGAGCCCAAGGTCCTTGGGCCGTCCTCCGCTGCTTTCGCAGGCCATAATCAGAGAGCTGCATTGGAAGTTGGGCAGCTGGGACACGAGCCAGTGCCTATCCGGGAGGCTGGGGCCGCAGGCAGAAGATCAGCATGTTACTACACCAGCCCCACCCTGTCTTTTAAAAAGAGTATATGAAGCAGTTGTTGTGACACAGTGCATTAAGCTATCATCTGCAGTGTTGGTACCCTGTCTGGATGTTGGTTCAAGTCATGTTTCTGACCCAGCTTTTACTAATGCACCTGGGAAAACACTGGAAGATGGCCCAAGTCCTTGGGACTCTGTGCCCACATGAGGAAAATAGGTGGAGCTCCATGCCCCTGGCGTGGGCCTAGCCCAGCCCTACCTGTTGTGGCCATTTTCGGAATAAACTAGCAGATGGACAATCTCTCTCTGACCATCTCTATCTGTAACTCTGCCTTTAAATAAACCATAAAATATGAGTAAATTCCAAAAGCTTGTGGGAAAAAAAAATTAGAAGTCAAGTTATTTTTGGTGCAAAGAATGCTGAAATGTGCATGGTTTCTTTTTTTTTTTTTCATAATGTGCATTTCTCATAAACTTTTTGAAGAGCCCTCATAGGAGGCCAGCGTTGCCGCTAACAGAGCTCAGAGACGCCATCAAGCCGGGTGGGGAAGGCAGGAGGCATGCCTGTAGCATTTGCCGTTCATCCTTTACTCCTCTCTGTTTCTCGGTGCTTAGTGATAAAATCTGTTTCGGTGGGATGCTAACTCTTGTTTTCCTAATTCTGACATCTTGGTTTGTGTCATCAGAAACCTCATTGCCTTCTCTGAAGACGGCTCTGATCCGTATGTCCGCCTGTATCTATTACCAGACAAAAGGAGGTCGGGGAGGAGGAAAACGCACGTGTCCAAGAAGACATTAAACCCAGTGTTTGATCAAAGGTACGAGGTCTCATTCCATGCGGAGGAGGCAGCCTGAGTGAAATAAAGTAAGAAAGCTCCTGGCAGTAGCTTTGAGTGACTGAACGCTGTGAACCAGTGTGCTGTTGAGAAGTATAAGTGAAAAGCCTCATTAGGTAAATTGGCGTTCTGAACTTCATGTTGAAGGGCTAAACACAGTAAATCCAAGTGTAATCTGTGCACTGGAAGGCTGGCAATTAAATAAAGATGAGATCATTGGTGCTCCTGAAGAACTTTGATTTTAGGGAGTTATGACTCTCGGTGCCTACTGTGTTAGAAATTGAAATTAGGACTCTAAAGATACATGTATTTCCAGCAGGTATTTTAGCAGCAGGTAAGATGCAGCTTTGGGGTACCTGCACCTCATATTGAGTGCCTGGGTTCAAATCCCAGCTCTGCTTTGGACTGCACCTTCCTGTTGCGGTGCACCCTAGGCAGCAGAAGGGGATGACTCGGGTACCTGGGTCCCTGTCACCCACGTGGAGGTTCAGGCTCGTGGCTGCGACTCCAGCCCCTCCTGCTCTAGCCACTGTAAGCAGTTGGAAAGTGAACCAGCAGCTAAAGATTCTGTCTCTGTCTCTTTGCCTTCCAAATAACTTTCTAAAACTCCAAGTGTCTTGGAGTCCTTTTGCCTTCTGCGAAGCTCCTGTCACTTTGGAGATGGTAGGAATAGGGGCTGCAGATTGAGCAAGAGCAATCCTGAAGCCGGGATTGGGAAGCTTAGTCGCACAGTGTGACTCCTGCCAAGAGTCAACCATGCGCTCTCAAGAAGCAACTTCTCACCCGTAGAAGTGAACCCTGGGCAAGGAGGTCCAGATGTGTGTAGGATGCCACTCCTTCCTTCTGTTTGAGAAATAATAGGGAAAAGTTGCATTTGAGTCTTCATGAAATGCCGCATCAAGTTAGAGACGTGCTCAATTATATAACAAAAAATCCACATAGTATTTGGAATAGTCTGTTGAGCAGAAATGTCATTTTTAGTTCCAAGAAAGTCCAGAAAACTTTCAGCAGAAGATGAATGGGTTCTGTTTTCCCCTCAGCTTTGATTTCAGCGTCTCATTACCCGAAGTGCAGAGGAGGACCCTGGACGTGGCCGTGAAAAACAGCGGCGGTTTCTTGTCCAAAGACAAAGGGCTTCTTGGCAAAGTAAGTTTTTGGGGTTTTTTTTTTAATACATTTTTATTTTGAAATTTTGAATTATGTGGTGCAATTTTGTATAGACTGGGATTCTACCCACAAACTCCCACCCCCCCAACAGATTTTCCCCATTTTGCTACAGTGGAGTAGTCCTTCATAAGGAATCATAATTCCATCAGTCTCTTATTTAAGTGTACCCCAACATTGTTGGTACAGACAATGTCAGACAGTCCAGCATCCCATTGTCCACACATGTCCAACAGTTTCATTGGGAATCCATCTTTCATTTGGAAGCAGGCATGCATGTTGCATTGTATCCCCACATCTGGATATGGTAGTCCCCAGCAAAGTAAGTTTTTAAAACATCCTTAACTGTATCCAATACTTTGTAAACATCAGACGTGGAGTAAATATCAGGTTTTGAGGTCACACTTATGTAACTGGGAAACAGGAAACTTAGTCTGCTTAATGCTTGTTTCTAAGGGAAGAGGTCCAACTGTGACGTGGGTGTGTAGTCTGAAGACATTTTAAGTTCCTTTCATTGTTTTACAAAGTCATGTCATTGGCTCACTAATCATACTAACTCTGTGAGCTTTTGAATACAAGGTTGGTTTCTAAGTTTTTTACTCCTTTATTCAAATATCACATTGGAAGAGAGCAGAAAGGAAGCCATTTCTTTACATTTGCACTCTGAGCCAGCCCCACTGCTCTGTTTCTGAGGAACCACTGTTTCTCTGAATGTCTTGCAGCCGGTGTTCAGATTTCCCTTTTGTGTAGGATGATCTCTTACGGAGCTAGGCCAGCAGAGTCGTGACTTGTGGGTGAGGCACGGCCACAGCAGGACGAAGCTGTCCACCTAAGCTGCCCTGCCACCAGGGGGAGCACAATACCCCGCCCCTGGTGGAGGATGGGCGGGGGGGGGGGGGGGGGGGGGGAGCACAGTACCCAGCCCTGATTGGGACAGGGGGAGCACAGTACCCCAGCCCCTGATTGGAGGACACGGGGGTTGGGGGAGCACAGTACCCCAGCCCCTGATTGGAGGACACGGGGGAGCACAGTACCCCAGCCCCTGTTTGGAGGACACAGGGGTGGGGGGAGCACAGTATCCCAGCTCCTGGTTGGAGGACACGGGTCTTTTCAATGTGAACTACCATATCATGTATAGATGAATCATAGGATAAAAAAGGTTGAAAACATGCTGGCCACAGAACAAACAGCAGTTGGAAAGAATGGTAAAAGACGGCATTTTTTTTCTTCCTCCTTTCCCAAACCACCTTTTTTCTTTTTAACCCACAGGTACTGGTTGCTCTGGCATCTGAAGAGCTCGCCAAAGGCTGGACCCAGTGGTGAGTTTCCCACCTCAAACCGATGTGCCAGTAACAGAGAACCCCATGCATGTCCCCTGTCACTGTGCAGACCTAACCCTGTGCTGTCGCCCTCGCCCTGTGCTCCCACAGGTATGACCTCACGGAAGACGGGGTGAGACCACAGGTGGTAACGTAGCCACGTCCGACGCGAGGCGTTCTTCCTGGCGTATCCCCCACTTCTGCTGAGACCATAACCCTCTCACAGACAAACCAACCTTATTTTTCTAGTTTCATCTATTTGGTTATACATACCTTAATAGTTTTGTAGAGCTATTGGCATTTTAGGTGAATTTGGCCAATATTATCATTAAATTTTGTTTCTTAGATTTTCTGTATTATTTCACCAGTTATGACATTGTACCATAGGGTAGTAGTTAATTATGTTATGTAAAGCTGTGTCAGTTACATTACAAAAAAAAAGATGTATGGATATGCTTATTGTTGCCTTGTTTTGTATATTACTGAGATGTACTATGCCATGTAAATAGACTCTATTTTTTATAATCTACATACTGGTTTGAATTCAGAAGAAAATGGATCAAGGAAATATATATTTTCTTCTAAACCTTATTAAATTCTTGTGGCAAATAATCGTTTTCATCTTTGCAACAAAAAGTTCTCAGTGTCTGATTTTAAAGTGTTTTTAAGTAGAAAAACTGCAAGATTATTAAATATATTTCTGCCCATTATAGAGGATACAGTGTTCAAAACAGTAACATTTGTGTTAAGTATATAGATGTATTATTGAAAAATCAGTTGAAGGGCTTCTAAAGAAAATGTTTAATAACCGAGTAATGTAAAATATCCAAAAAATTGTCATGGTTCACAAGTCTTAATGTACTCATTGATATTTCTTACATAAAAATGAAATGTCTTAAGCTTATTTCTGATTATTATAACTTATTTGTGACTTTGTGCACAGACAAACACGTTATCCTTTTCCTGAAACAGAGGGGGCAGCCTTTCAGCGTTAGCAGTTAGGCTGTGGTGTCAGCATCAGGCAGGAGCTCTGCTCATTGTTTCCCAGCCCAGAGCAAGAGCTGTGTGTCCTTGCTCTCAAGGTGAAGTGCATCAGGGTGAGTGGACAGAATGTTGCCCCACACACCAAGAGCTCACTGCTACTGTGAGAAACATCTAGTTGTACAGCCTACACAGGACGGGTCACCCTGCTGGCACATACCCAGGTGCCAGCAGCGCAGCTCTTGGTGTGAAATAACCCTGCCGGGAACTCCTCCTATGAAGCCATGACTGACCTTACTATTGGGGTGTGGTGATACAGTTTTTATCTTGAAGTCCTTTTTTCTTTTTTTAGACTATTAACAGCATGTGTTTTTACACTTGAAACCCAAAGCATCTTGTGAGGTGACGGTATGATGTGAGGTGAGGCTAGGAAAGATTGTGAGGTGTATACTGTAAGCTATGGAATGAAAACTGCCCCCTTGGCCACGAGAACTCTCTGAGCAGTGTATGCATCTGTTGGGGGATGCATAGCTTTGCAGTTGAAACTAGAGATGTTACCTTAAGTCATTTTGAGGAGCTGAATAACCGAGGGACACCCTTCTGACCAAACATACCAAAGTGCCTACGCTGAACGCTGCTTCTTCCTGTACCCTCCTCCCTTTCCACGGGATTCTCTTTCCATTTAGAGCTTATGCATTGAACCCCAGCGGTTCATTTATAATGCAGTCACTCGCTTCACAACACATTTCAGTAACCATAAAGACCAGTATAATCCCACAGTCTCCTGTTGAATGGCAGTCTACCCCAAAACCTCTTTCTAAACCATTGCCAATTAGTGCAGAGAATTCATTCTTGGAGAAAGTTTGCAAATATCATTCACACACATTTAAACCTATATGCACACAAACCACTGAAAAGTGTTTCAGTAGTATGAGAAAGACAAGTAATAACTTGTCAAATCTGATTGTGTATTCATGGTATTGAAATTTTGATGTTTTTTTTTAAAGAAAAGGTCTCTTAAGGGCTTTGGTTATAATCTATAAAAGCAAGCAAATACTGGCTAGAATTTTATCATGCCAATAATTTTATCAGCATCCTAAAATCTGGGCTTTACACTCCTATACTTTATCTATTCAGCGTATCTTGTACTTACTGGAATGCTTTTCTTAGGTGATTAGGCAAAATTGATACAGTTAAAGGTACAAAGCCTGCAGGAAGCCAGTCTAGCAGCACAGTGCACAGATCCCTGATGCGGTAAGCTTGGGAGAGCTGTTCCGGGCAGTTGCTGTGCAAGTTTCCACCGACAGGTCCTGGGGCTGCTGGCCACTGCCTCCATTCTCCCTAACCAGAGGAAGGAAAGGGGGGCCTGCAGGTGCTGAAGCCCCTCCCAGATGTTGTTTTGTGTTTGTGTCATAGGGGGAAGGTTAGGAATGGTCACGGCCGTATGCTTGGATGGTGGGAATACTGTTGAGCTGTTCTCAAACACTGATAATCGATTTGTCTAGCAAAAGAGAACTGATTACTTTGAGCCAAACCAATGGAGGAGAATTCACTGAGGCAGATGTGAAGTGCGAATCCGTTAGTTTGTCCGTGTAGGTTGCTCATCCTGTGCCTTAACGTACAAAGATGTTGCTTCCACCTGTCAGACTAAGAGGAAGCCTTGTAGCTGTTTTGCCACTATTTATATTCTGTACCATAATTCTTTTTACAGATATTCTTTATCAAGCAGTCAGCCTTTTTTCAAGAACCTAAGCCAAATGCTGTGTTGTGTATAGCTGTGTGTTTATTCTCCGGTTGCTACATCTTTCCAGTTCTTACTGGATCGCCCGCTGCGTATGGAGAACTGCAGAGGGTTGTTTTTTAAAAATATCTATATACATATATATATATATATAAACATAGAATGTCTTTTTTGATCAACTAATTTTACATGACAGTGCATGTATTTATTCAATAAAACTTTTATGTTAGCTCATTTGTGTTTTGTCTCTCCTTTGCCTTATGAAGTGAAGTGCATCATGTGGGGTCTGATACTTTGGGAAGTATGTCCAGTGTAACGTCTGTGTTTGTGCCTTGGTCATTTGATGCTATTCCTTTGTTCCCAGCTCAGTGTGACCCACATAAGCATGACTCTGCCTCTCTCCTTTGACTTGTTGTGAGTACAGCTCTTCTGAAGGCTAATGCTGAGTAGGTGAACCAGATGCGCTTGTTACCAGAGAGCTCTGACAAGGCGCTGAACAGAAGTGGAGGGGGAAACGCTGGAGGACTCAGGACTCAGGGGTACTTGTAGGCTTTCTGCTAGCCCCTCAGTGTTTGACACTGTTCATCCCATTACTTGCTGCCCCGTTGTTTGTCTGTGCTGGAGCCCTGGAGAGCAGCTGCTGCCTCCTGCTGCCTCACACCCAGACCCTGGAACTGGGACCCAAGGGACACATACCTCTGCTTCAGCTGTCTGCTTTCCAGCAGGCGCCTCCTAGCCTCCGCCTGCAGCCCCTGCTTGCCTCTCCCCTGCTTGTATTCTCTGCACAGGTCTGAACTCATCACTCTACTGTTTTGCATTGCTCTTAGAATAAAGACACTGAACACAAGGCCCTGAGGACTCCCCAGCCGTATTGGCTTCTCCTGTTACACTTCCGTCACAGGTTTCCCTCTGCATTCCTCAGACTCCCCACACTCCTCCTCCCGTTGCAGCCTGGCTAACTCCCACTCCTTTCACTTCCCAACTTAAGATGTCTTTACCAGCACAGCCATCTACATCTCGCAAGCCTAGCAGCTAAAAGTCCTTGCCTTGAATGCGCTGGGATCCCATATGGATGCTGGTTCTAATCCCGGCAACTCCACTTCCCATCCAGCTCCCTGCTTGTGGCCTGGGAAAGCAGTCAAGGACGGCCCAAAGCCTTGGGATCCTGTGGAGAACATCCCAGTAAAATGATAAAAGTAGACTAAATCAAACAATGAACACCAATGCTAAAATAACAGGACTGAATTACCACCTATTCATATCAACCCTCAGTGTAAATGGCATAAACTCATCAATCAAACATTATAGATAAGTGGACTGGATCAAAAAGTCAAACCCATCTGTCTGTTGCCTACAGGCGACATCGCACCAACAAAGATCAGTGGGAACTATGTCATGGATTTTGATTTTTTTTTTTAACTTTCATTTCTTCAATTTTTTTCTCGTATTAAATTCTTGACCGACTCACAGGTTATACGGTAGCAGCTGTATGGGGGAGGGGGTTTGGGGAAAGGAGTAAGGTAAGGTAAATTCTAGAGCCTATGGAACTGCAGCATAAAATAATAATGAAATCAAAAAAATCAAAAACACGAAGGAAGGAAGGGTGGATGGAAGATGAGGAGGGAGAAGGAGATGGGGATGGAGGGAGGGAGGAAGGAGGCAGGGAGAAGTGGAGAGAGGGAGGGAAGAAGGATGGAAGAGCGAGGATGCATTCCCCACGTGGCTGTCTCCGTCGCACACAGGTGACTGCACTTCAGAGTGATGGACATGTTATTCTCGTTGAATCCTCTTCAACTTACTAACAGATATTTAATAGCAACTAATTGCTTTGCCCAAGATTCCCCTTTTTCTTGTTCTTGGCTTTGCCAGCTGCTTCAACTCTCAGTTAAACTTCTTTATGAATATTTTAACTTAAAACTTAACACCATAAGCTTCTTGGATCATTTATCATGCAATAATTTCTTCCAAAAACCTGCCCAAAGATAACATACTAAAAATGTGTCATCGTAAGTGTCTAAATATATGAATGTCCTAAATACTAGCAGTAGTAACTGGCAAATATGCCTTTTAGTCTTTTCTTTCTTTCTGGTCAAGTGTAGGAACTAGGGTTTGAGAAGCTTTTGTTTTATGCTTTAATATTTTCTGGTTTTAAGATTCTAAACCTGGGGTCAGTGTTGTGGCGTAGTGGGATAAGCTTCTGCCCACAGTGCCAACATTTCCTATGGGCTCCAGTTCGAGTTCCAGCTGCCCTGTGTCTGACCTACCTCCCAGCTAACGGTCGGGGAAAAGCAAGTGGAAGATGGCCCAAGTGTTTTGGTCCTTGCTGCCCATGTGGGAGACCTAGATGAAGCTCCTGGCTGCTGGCTTTGGCTTGGCCAAACCTTGGCCATTACAGCCATCTGGGAAATGAAGTAGCAGAAAGTTTGATCTTTTTCTCTCTGCCTCCCATCATATCTCCCTCTCTCTGTGTAACACTGCTTTCCAAATAAACACATCTTTTTTTAAGAAAAAAGTATAACCCTGTGAAGCATTTCATTACATTCCTTGAACTGTAAAATATAAGGCAAAAATACAGCTTTATTAATTCAACATGTAAAAGTGCAGCCACTGTGTAGAAGTTGATAGAACAGGGCCCGGCGCGGTGGCGCAAGTGGTTAAAGGTCCTCGCCTTGCACGCCCGGGATCCCATATGGGCGCCGGTTCTAATCCCGGCAGCCCCGCTTCCCTTCCAGCTCCCTGCTGTGGCCCAGGAAAGCAGTCGAGGACAGCCCAAAGCTTTGGGAACCTGCACCCGCGTGGGAGACCCAGAAGAGGCTCCTGGCTTCGGATCGGCATAGCTTTGGCCGTTGCGCTCACTTGGGGAGTGAATCATTGGACGGAAGATCTTCCTCTCTGTCTCTCCTCTCTGTATATCCGCCTTTCCAATGAAAAAATAATAATAAAAAAAAAAAAAGAAGTTGATAGAACAGGCAGTGAGGGAGAAAGTCTGTCTGTTCATAGACAAGTCGCTATGCATGTATCAGTGTGTGCATGAGTGTGTGTTGGCGTGTGTGCGCTCCTAGGGACCTGTGTCCATGGGTGTATATTTGCATCATAATCAAGGTATGTTGGTGCATGCCTTGTGGACACCTGAGTTGTGCATGAGCGTGAACACATATGTCAACACATGTATCTTTAGGTGCACATCTGTGAGCACATGCCGAAGTGTGCTGGTGTGTTTAACCTTTCCAAGCCAATTGTTCGCAAACCTAGTGTCTCAGACTGTTTTTCTCCAAATAGAAGCTGAAGTATGATTTGTGCGTGCACATGGTTGGTCTGAAAATGTGACCCACTGGGCTGGGACCTCTGTGAGGTAAGATAATCCTCCACTGTGGCACCAGCACCCATAGAGGTGCCTGTGTGTGATTCTCTGCTTGCAATCCAGCTCCCTGCTTGTGGCCTGGGAAAGCAGGGGAAGATGGCCCAAAGCCTTGGGACCCTGCACCCACATGGGAGACCCGGAAGAAGCTCCTGGCTCCTGACGACCAACTCCTGGCTTTAGGTTGGCTCAGCTCCACTATTGTGGCCATCTGGAGCGTATCAGTGGATGAAAGATCCCTCTCTCTGTCTCTCCTTCTCTAACTTTGCCTTTCAAAGAAAAAAAATTATTTTATGACATTTCTTATTTTATTGTTTTTAATTTTATTTTTGATGAACTTTACATCGTTGAGAAAGGTACATTCGTGTTCATGTGGACCACTCATTAGGATGAGAAGGGTTGAGGAACAGAGGAAAGCAGATTAGACCACTGTGTGCAATTTTCTTTGTCTTCTTCCTGTACCTGGGGGAAGAAGGAAGATTAAGGGAGAAGCCACACCCAGCATCCTTACTGCATCAGTACCCAAGAATGGGTTACTGCCACCCAGTGTTATCGCAGGGTCCTCAGTGTGGAGCATGCCCCAAGGGTTCTGCTCAAGAACCTATTCTTGAAATGCTGTTGATTTCATTGCTCCAAGGGTGAGGAAATTCTCCCAAGGTCCATTGGCTGAAATAGTCCACCCAGATACTTGCTGTCAATGCTTGGCTGGGAGAGTTGTCCAATTTGTTCTGCCCTCCCTCCTCTGATATGATACCAAATGTCCTCTGCAGGCCCCAATGGACTGGTATATCCTCCATGTGCATCTGGGCATGCCATCCCCTGCGCCATCTTAAGCTACTGAGGAGGCCCAGTTCTGACACATGCACTCCACAATCAGACCACAGATTCTATGATTCTCTCCATAGTTAAAGTTCTGAGTCCAGTGCTTCAGCTAGTGGGGAGGGGTTCCTCAGAAAAACCTCATCTGAGGTGACCCCAGACCCAACTCCCATGTGTCAGCCAGTATGGGGTCTAGCTCAAGTGCATTCCCCACATTTACCCACACACACTGGTGGTTACAGTTACTAGGTCAGTTCTGTCTCCAGCCCCATCTGTTATGCAAACTAAAGGATGCTGTGGCCCAGCCCAACTCAGCCCACCACACACTTGGGCCTCATGCGCACCAGTGGGAATTGCAACCGGCAGCCAAAACCTCCCACCAGGCCTTCCGCCAGCTCTGATTCCTGTGCATACTGGTGTGTACAGCAGACTTGTCCTGTCTGTCCCACATCCCATTTAGCTTCTGTGCACACCAATGGGAGCTACAGCGTAGCTCAACCCAACCGACCACATTATCCAGCTCACACTCATGCCAGCAGGTGCTAACACCTGTCTAGCCAGGTCCACCCCCAGCCTTGATTCTCCTACTCACCAGCGGGAGCTGCAGTCTATCAAAGAGGTGCCCACCATTTCCCTCCTGGGCCCACTCCCAGCCCTGGAGCTTGCACTTCCCAGGTGGTCCTACAGTCTAGATTGACAGGACTTGCATCCGATCTCTAGCATTTGCCAGCTGATACTGTGGCAAAACCCAAGTAGCCTGGCCTTACTCTGGCTCATGCCTGCACCAGTGGATATGGTCATGTAGCCTAGCCTGGCTCTCCCCCTACCCAGTTCACATGCAGGATAACAGGTGTTGAGATCGGGTCAGCTGTGCATCGCTGGTCAATTGGGGAGTGGATCAGTGGATGAAAAATCTCTTTCTTTGTCTCTCCTTCTCTCTGTTTAACTTTGCCTTTCAAATAAAAAGAAAATTTAAAAATCCTTAAAAAAACAAAAGAAAATGTGATCCACTGAATTTGTTCTTCTTTATTATTCTGTTCTCTGAGACAATTTTTCT